AAAATCAATGTTTAAAATATCCATGATAATTTTCAAATTACTAGCTTGAAAAAAAAAGAAAAAAAGGGAAAGTCAGGTTGTAAAGACAACTTTCCCAATAACCTAGGTCAAAATTTATAGTGTGTTCGCGAGTTGAGGCAGATCGACTTCCTCGTATCGCAGTAATTGCTGACCTAATCAGTGCGATAGACAGTTTACAACACATCCACGCTAGCGTGATGCCATATTGCAGCTTTCTCTTTTGTGCCAGCAGATCAGCTAGCCGTTTATAAGCAATTGCCGTCTCTTTCTCCATACCACCTGATGTTGAAAAGACCAGTGGTGTAAAAGCAGAATATTCAATCTCTCTTACTCGATCACCATATTCCCTTTTCTTAGCCATCTCATGCTGACGATAGATTGCAGGTAGATTGGTGTTTTGGTAGCTCGACGCGTTTGGGTGAAATACCCTTACATCAAAAAGTGCATCTTGCTATCTAGACCAAAAACCTTTAGCACGAAAGTCTAGTCTCGCTTCTTCTTGTCTATTGGCTGTACGAGGTAATATCACTTCCCCAGAAAGAGGTTGTAATTGTGGCTCTTTCTCAACTGTCGAGCAAACTTCTGCTATCCACTGCACTGTTATATCTCGAACTTCATTATGTCTCACTATTGGTAAACCACCATGAGGAAATATCATCGCGTGATCGGTTGCAAAAGCCTTTCCACAAATGCAGTGCTGAGGGGTATTTTTCAATTGCCATCCATAACGTAAACTTAATGCATCTGGAAATTCCCATTTGTCTATTTCATAATTATAAATAAACCAAGTTGTATGATTTTTGGTTTTTGTTCGATCATTGATAAGCAAAACGTTGTCACTATACATGAATAATAAAGAATAACTTTCTTATGTTACGTCTGAGATCGATATATACATGTAGTTAGTGTTCGATATTTCCTATGATTATAGAATCGTTCATGTTCAACAAAAACATCTCTACTTAATGAAGCGAACATCAAAGGCTACCATGTCAGATAATTTTCGATTGAGAATTACCAGCAATTAAAATGTATTTCCTCACAAATGTAGCTCTTTTTCAAAATCAAGTTTATTTTTGTATTCCTATAATAATAAGGAAGAGGAGGGGAGGGGTTATTTTAGCCAATTAGAAAGTAGCTATTATTACTTAAGTAAATTACGATTATATAGCATTATTTAAGATTGTCACTGAAGACCTTCTAGTTATATAGATTTTTAAAGAAATTGGTAAAGATAGAGTTAGTAACTCAGATAAATGCTTTTAGGTTGAAAAAAACATGACGTTTGTGACTTAATTTTTGAATAGCAGCCCCCAAATTCTTTTGATCTCTTTCCTGCTGGTCTTTTGAAATAGCTTACATTTTTTATATATATGTATTTACCGACTACGTCTTTAGAATGTTCTGAAATCCGAAGTGAATAAACAACAGCGAAGAAGTTAAAAGTTTATGAAACAATAAAAGACTGGAGACCTTTTTGTAAGTTCTATACACTTAATTGATTGTATAATATATTAAGGGTATATAACAGAATATAAAATATATTATGTTGAAGTTTGAATTCTTATAGTGTATAATAACAAATTTAGAAAATTATATTGCGTCAATATTTGATTTAATCTCTAAGAGTCTGTTTCTCTATCTTATTTCTACCTCTTCTTACAAACCTAATTCTTAACAGGGTCTTAATTTTTCGCCATCGCGAAAAAACATTAAAGAATTATTTTATAGGCAATGGCGATACGGCAAGCAAAACATTTCCGTAGAAATAGGGATTTTCTTTTCTTTATCATTCCACAATGGATTTCATTACCATGCAAACCTCATATCCAGATTATAATACAACTTTTATAGTTTGAACAGTCTAGCTGTTGTCTGTATATATATGATGTATACGACGGTGTGAGAGTTCGTTGCCGGAAGTTAAACGCAGTGGAATTTTTTGGAAATTAGCTACGAAATGAAAATCGCCAATATATATATTTTAGCTATATAAATATCAGTCAATGAACTTTTAATTTTCAAACTGTTTTGCATTAAATAGATATGTATGTAAAAGCTTGTATAAGCTTATACATCATACAAATGTAACTTTGTCTAACGTCACATATCCTTTTATCATTTTCTAAACTTTAAACTAGAAGGTCTTCACTCTTCTTTGATAACCATGATTTACTTAGCTAAGATTATTGTCCACAATTAGAGCAATTACAAGACATACCTGACAAATGCTGTTCTTCCACAGTGACAGTTTTATCATTGCATCATTCGTTAAAGGGACGAGTCAATTATTTTTGCTAATTAGAAAGTATTCATTAGTTGAAAAAATCGTGATTATATAGCTGTGATTATAATAAAGACTTAAGACTTTCAGAGATGACTTTCATATATAGTTACTTTGACGTTTGAGAAATAAAAATAGTCAGAGTTGCCGGTTTTGCGAGCCATTCATTGTGTGCTTTTCTTAACTAAAACAACAGTTGTTTCTTCCCTGACTTGTCGCAATTTAAAGTTATCTTTACGACATGACGTCGTTGTGATCAAAATTTCCTTTAATTTAATTTTTGGTCATGAAGAGATTATACTTTTAACAAAACATTTTGATAGTTTATAGAAAAGCGTACAAACATTATACCGTCGAAACTGCGCTCTCTTGTTTTTCCCATTCACTATTTTTAGCTGAGTAAAAATCTTAAATGGAAATAAAGAATTATTTTATTTTAACCACTAACCAAACAATCATTTCTTACTGAACCAAATTTTTACAGCTTTGCCAATCTTTTTTGCCATTAGGAAGAAAATAATTTGCATTCATTCAATATGGCTGACGAAAGTCTTCAAAAGGTATCAGGCTATGGGCACATACTAAGTGCATGCATTATGTTATAAATGCAAATTCAGTCAATTTAAGTCGTATGGCATGATGACTGGGAATAAAATATCTGTAAAAATTAGTGCGTAAATTGCGTAGGCATCTTTTGAACGTGTCTAATGATGAGCTGGTTTGCGCTCATAGAAAAATATATGTTATCAAGGAAAAGTCGGTCAATTTTTCGTTAAATAAATTTGTTTGCTCACTTTTGTAGCATTTTGAAGACGTGCTTAAAAAAACGTTTTGCTCTGGTGCATGAGCGAAACAGGGGCCGCGGAAGTATCTCAAAAGTGGGGGCACTGACCGAAAAGGGCATGTGAGTTTGCAGCTTACTGTTTTAGTATATTACAGATATGCATTGTTTCATGAATCATGATTAAGTTTCAAAGTCTGTAAAATATTGGTAGACATTCTTAGAATGCTATGCGTATTATCTATTGCTCGGCGTACGTGCTAACAAATTGAACTAAGATGAATACATGAACAATTTTATTAAGTAATGCGATCTCATTAAAATTTCCCAAAAAATCTAACCCTACGTTCGTTTTTGAGAACAAAGTCCTTAGCTATTAAACGTAAGTCCAGTTCGTCAGTTCTGGCCTTGTTTACATGCATAACAATAAGATTATTGTAGCGTGCTGCCGTCATTGTGCTCCTGAGATGTGTCTTGACAAGCCGCTGGCATGAAAAAGATCGTTCTCCAGAGGCTGCGCTCATTGGAGGTAAATCTGCAAGAGTCGGACAATATTAGACATTGCCATGACGATCTGCGATGATTTATTTTCTTCGGTTGAGAATATGGATGTTATGGTGTCAATTGATGTCACCTTCTTTACTTCTGGATGTCGCTGCGAGATGATTCCTTCAAGAAGCTTTAACTCCGCCTTCAGCTGGTCAAAGTCGAGGTCATTTTCGTAAAGGTGTTCAACCTCATTATTCAACTCAAACTTACACCCGTTTGCTCCATTAATGAGCACGGTTTCGATGTTCATCAATACAGAATATGCTTTTTGATCGAAGTGCTCCTGAAGTGAAGCCAAGCACGCATCAATTGCTTCAACATACTTTGCACGGTGGGCGTCTTTAGCAGTTTGGAAATGATGTTGCTCGCCATCTCCGTGTTGAAGTCGCCACGGAACTTTCTTCGGTCTTGGTTGTGTTGGATCAAAATATAGCTACACCAAGCAGGAGCGAAAACCGAAGGAACTTTGTCACTTGTTACAGCCAACCGTTATTTAACATAGTAATATAAACGTGTTGTTGTCCACAGTTTGCAGAACGTTCACAATATCATTTCTTAGCTACCGGACAAAAAGTTTTGGCATGGACTCCCCGCCATGATGCATGGTGCCGACAGACTTTGTTCTACTCTCGGGGCTACTTGTATCTAAGAAAAACTTCTTCAGTCCAATTTTACCTAAAACAAAGACATTTCTACACCATAAAAAAAGGCACTTTCATTCCAGAAAAAGGGCACATTTTTCCCTGTTGCAAAAAGTGGGGGGGGGGCTCTTGCCCCCAATGCCCTCCCGGTTCCGCGGCCTTTGGAGCGAAATGTTTTCTCCAAAATAGCATTTTTGTATTATGTTTTATTTTATGTCTATTGCAGAAATGCAAATGTATTAGTAAATTTAAAATTAGTTTTGCGCTAATTTTTTATTGACAAATTGGCAAACGTTTTGGCTCGAAGAACATATTTAAGATTATAAAGATGATAATCTGCTCCAATATTTTATTAGCTATATATGAAAAAAAAACACACACAACATTTTAATACAGAAACATTAAATATAAAAAATCTAAGTTCTTGATTTGATGATTTATCAATGTTTTAGATGACCTGAAGATCCGAGCTGTGTTTAAAACAGCAAAATCTGTATCCTCACCCGACAAGGATAATTTGAGAAAAGGTCACAAGTTCAATTACATAGTGCATTTTTTCGGAAGAGACTCTAAAAATTATGTTCTTTGTCTTCCTTAATGCAGGTCGCATCTCTTTAAAACGGTCTATACAATATGTTGAAGGTGATTTGAGCTACGTTGGGTTATTTTATTATTGTATTTTGATAAGGCCTCTGACAAATCTTTGTTTATATTTTGCGTAAAGGTGACAGCGTCGCAAAGGCTATACCGATGAAAAGGAATTGTCGTCTGCAATACCTCACAAAAAGTAACACATCAAATTTTATCAGTTTTGAAAAAAAATAGTCCGTTTTCTCTTCATTTCATCTTTAAAAGAAGGATTTTATAATTTATTTGTGGGATGACACGCTTGGTCGATGACGATCATTTTTATCGTTAATCCTGTATTTTTATAATTATAATAAAAGTTTCCGAAGTACAATATTAAAATAAGGAAATATAACTTCAGTTGGTATATTACTACTGAATTTTTACAGCTGATTGGCATTTTTATTGCTCTGCAAAAAACAGCATAGCTGTTATAAATATTTTCTCACAAGTGATCTTTATATAATTTCGGACTGATTTTCTGGTTGTACTGTTGACAGAAAATTGCAAAATGATGGAATTATCTTGAAGAAATTTTCAATGTACACGCAATCAACTTGTTATCATGTTATGCGAGCAATTAATTTCAAAAGATTGCATTTTCAATTCTTCAAAACAGCAAAGCGTTTCCTTGCAGCAGTTTTATAGAAAAAATATCTAATTTGAAACGTTTCATTGAGGAAATAACACGATGATCATGTGGAGACATTAGCTAATTTGCATGTAGTCAGAAAAAGAAAGATTGAAAAAAATCCTTCCTTTAAAATTGGTGTGACTTTATAAGCTATTGATTCAACTTTCATAGCTATATCATGTTGCATTATAAAGTCAGTAAATATAACTTTGATTTTTGTTAGTGGAAGGAAAGAGTTTAAACACGTTAGCTGCTTCTGAATCAAAAATAAAATGTAAATTTCATTTACTTGTTTTTTATTTTTTGTTCAATGCATGGTCGAGATTTACTATATGTCTTTTTCCGTAGATGAAGCTCCCAGTCCCAACACGTGTGACTTTAAAAATACGTTTTTAACCAAAGGTTGCAAAATTAAGATTGTGTGCATGAAAAATTGAAAAGGTAATGATTTCTTATCATATTTAGTATAATTTTGATTAATTTGGCTTGACAAGCCGCCATCATGCTGATTTTTTATCGAACACCATGACGTTTTTACATTCACAGTTTTTCTTGGCTTTGTGGCAAATATGGCATAGCCCATGAGAACGAAGACATGCCTTATCTTCATTTGAACCTCGAAGTGGACAATGAAATGAGAGGGAAAGATTTGAAACCAGAAATCAATAAGATATTTGATGGCAATGCTTCAGAATACATTGAATTACGTTTTGTCGACCCATCAGACGAAATAATAATTCGACCACTATCCAACATGGTTCACTCAAAGCGCGATGATGAGCCTAATGAAGAATCCCGTGGCACGTTGACTCTGTTCAGCTGTAAAGATGGCAAACAATACGCGTTGACTTGTCTTCATGTTGGATATGGAAAAGTTCCGAAAGGTGCCGATCAGTTCCTTTACATTCGAGACAAAATTGAAAATGATAAATTGGCATTTGAGAAATTTCTACTAAAAAACAAGTACTCTTATACTCATGAAAACAGCATAAAAATGCCTCTTGGCGAGCTATTTCGTTACTCATTTGATCTTGAAACCGACATCGTGGCAATCTTAATTGATGACAAAGAAAATGAATTTACTGCGGCTGAAATAGAGATGCCGAGTTCTTTCGATGCTGTGTTTGATAATTTGTTATCGAAGGAAAATGAAAAAGTTTATAAAGTTGGTGACGAGTCGGGCTTGAACGAAATTGCTGACCTCAGTTGTAGCGTTTTTGACAACAACAAGAAAAAAGTGTTTCGTGATGCAGTGGCAGTAAAGAGTGATAACGAGTTCCTCCGGCCTGGAGAGTCTAGTTGCCTAGTGTATTATTATGATGAGAACAACAAAAAGATACCATTTGCGTATGGAGTTGCTGCAGTGACCGAGAAGAAAAACGAGACGTATTATGTTTGCATGAAATTAAAAGATGGTTTACAAAATTTGAGACTTCTCGAAAATGTCTCCTTCAAAGACTTTTCACGTGATACTAAATGATTACTCTTTGTGATGAAGAACATATATATGCATCATTTAAAACCTATGTACTCATTTAACTTATGTTCATTTATATTTACAGGCATTAATTTGTTTAGAATTTATTCGTTAATTTAATACTTGCGCAATTTTTTTGCGAAGGTTCCTACTGTAGCTAAGAACTTTTTTTAGTAATGTCCTTATCTTCAACATGATTTCCGTCGCTACATATCATGAAAAGCGTGTATTCAAAAATTATAATTGTTAGTGATCGAGCTGTATTTTACAACTAAATACAGCTATAGAGCTATACTTGCATCTGTGGCTAATATAAAGGTACACAAGAAAAAATAGTCAAGTCTTACAATACTTTCATTACTTCATATTCATTTCAATGCTCGGTTTAATAGTTATATTTTGTATAATATAAATATGTCAAATACGACTATGTTTTTTTCAATGTTTTGTCACGAATGCTATCTATTACAAGGACTCAAATTATATGGTGATTTAACGACACGAGCAATCATCTTGTCAAGGTAGGAGAATATCTTTACTCGAAAAATGTTCACGAAACGTTGATATGTCCTCATATCAAAAGGAGTTTCCACGATTATTATAAATTCGTAGTACAGAGTTCACGATTCAAAATTCAAAGTTGCTGGAAGGATTTACTTTCTCAAAGGTTGGCATAAACAATGTATGTTATAATCACTTCTATGTTCAGACAAAAATTACATCAAATAATTGAGTAGAGTTAGCTTGATGATTCTTAGCGCGTGCTAATTGAAGTGGATTATGATTGTGCAAGAAAATGACTCGAGTCATTTGACACTAACCTGTCTCCTAAGAATTGGTGAAATTTCATGGGACCTTTGTTTGTTTCAGCCTCGAAATCCGGAAAGACATCACCTAAGTTAACCATTATTGCAGTACAGCTTTTCTACTGTAGATCTGTAGATGAACAATAGCCCGTTTATTGTGGTGTGGGGTGATGCGTGATGGGGTGAGTCGCAATTAAATATTTAATTATGAACATTATTGTAACTTGTTTGTGTAACCTTGTGACACCAAGAGCAACAAAATTAAACAAACCTTAGTAAGTTTTTTGTAAATTCATCGAAACGTGGGGTGAAGTCATTGGTCATCATAAATAATAATTGTTGTTGAGTGATAAATGTTTTTCTTTCATGATTTCCTGATCGATTTCTTAGACTTCAACTTCTTCGTTTAAAGGGATTTATTTGAATCGGGTGACAACTTTGGTTTACGTAGAATTTGGCGAAGAATATGGTTTCGGTGGTTTCGATTTGAGCTTCTTCCTTTTTGCGGAACTTACTACTTATGAAAGAAATAAAGGCGGGCAGGATGGAGGACATGGGTCATTTTATTATTAAAAATGGAGAAGAAAATCCTGACATCAACTGAAGATAAGAAGGTAATGTTGGTGAGTCTAAAGTGGACTGGGGACTAGTAACATGAATGTTATTTTTTTAAATGGAAACATCATTGTTAGTAGAAATATAATAAATATTTACGAAATGAACTTAAATGAAAATAGTTTTATAACCATTTTTTAATTTAAATAAACGAGAAATATCAGTTTATGTTGCGAATTTTTTAAAGGTTTTGTTTTTTGTGGATTTACAATGATTCTCAAGGTTAGTAATTTTTGCCGTATTGGTTATAAAAAGACATGATATTCATTGTGATAAAGTAGGTAGAAAGGGCATTTTACACTAATCATGAATTTCAGGGTGTAAAATTGTGAATTAAGGTGGAAAAGTGAATTGCAATTTTCGTTACAAGTTTGTTGAACTATCACCTTGAAATGAGAAACATACCTTGTTTCTTGTTTCTGGTATGTTGTTTCATTTCATATCTTGCTGGACAACAGTCATACTACAGGACTGATGTAACTAAAAACAAACATTTCAAAATTGACAAAGTAGAACGTTTATCATAGTTTTTAAATGTTCATAAAAGCATGAAAATATTTTCAAACTCATAAACACTTCATGTTACGTTTGGTTAGTTATTATAGTTCACACTTGTCATCAGTATCTTTATGTTGTACAAATTCCGACATACTCAGTTTGGTTATGGCAATTGCACTATGCACCATCTTTGTCTGAATGTTTGAAACTTTGTCAACTCTGTTTGTTTTGACTTTAAAGCATTTTAATACGACATGTAGACACAAGAACAGAAAAATTTTTTCCAGTTCTAAAAATCTTGAAAAAACCACGACCTCTTACAGTTTTCATCCAGTAGATCTAAATAAGAAGTTAAGATGAAAATAATAAAATTAAAATTATAGCGTGTTGATGAGATTTAAAAATTTAGATAAAATATAAAGTTATTTAGCTTTTTGTATTTACCGCGCGTTTAGTGCATCGCAAGTGGTCGAAAGTGATTTTAGGAATTGCGACATGTCAATTCATATCCTCAAGATTAGAGTATAAGAATTAAGTACTGGGTGATTCTGCCGTCACTTGTGGCGACATTTACACTGTGATTCTATAGTTATTTCTGACTTAAAGCTTAGACAAAAATGAATGCATTACAAATTAATACATTGTGGTAAAATGTTTGGCTTTTAATATTCATGTACATTTTATATGTTGGTGATATTAGCCAAATCATACCTGAACGTAAATTTTAGAACTTCAAAATGGAAATAGTTTCTTTTGCAGACAATTTTCAAAGAAAAAGCCTTAACATGGTGAACATAAATATCAAAAAACTGACTTATGAAATATCTCGGGTAAAATGTATTCGCTGTTAAATTCTGTGAAATTAAAGGTATTTTGATGAGCCTTGAGACAGACACTGATAATAAAGATATTAGTCACTATAGAAAATTTTATTATTGTCGTTGGCTCCATCAATGCAGCAATCTTTACTCAATAAAACCCCTTTAGCGAATCGTAAAGGTGGAAAAATTTCATTTTAGGCCATGTAGGGTGTTGGAACTTCGTTTTCTTTAAATAAAATTTGAAGGATATTTGCGATTATGAAAGATCAAATCTACAACACAAACTTAAAGATGCTCAAAGTTACTTTACAACTGTAGTACTTAACCATCACTTAAATTCTATTTCTGTTGATAACTAAATGTTTTACATTATTTCTCAGCTTAAACTTTATCGTTTCGTGTAGGTGACGTAGCTAATTCTATTTTCCCGATGACGTGTATATAACGAGAACCATGTTGTGAAATGTAAGTCTAACCTGGAGTTTCATGAAAACAAAAAAACAGGAAAGCAATGATGGCAACATTGATGATAATTATGCAGGATATGTGAATTTAAGGACCAATGTTCCATGACTTAAAGAAAGAGTTTAAGCCAATAAACACACTGGTGAGAAAGTGTACTATGTTGGTCAACATGGTTATGATGTGTTTAATGTTCAAAACCAACAACTGTTCTTACTGTGAGAACTTTTGATCTACTAAGAAAGTGAAACTATTACAGGTCAGTACTTGTACATCAAACTTTAAACATTAAACAAGACTTTGTTGAATGCTTATTTTTATGTGAAAATCTTCCACCGTTCGGCGTACATGTTGTTTTTTCCTTAACAAATGGAATATGCAATGATTTCATCGTCTATTAACGATAACTATTATCGTTAATAATCTAGTTTCGTCCTCCTGCGTATGTATGAAATGACTTTTCATTTTTCTTGCGGGTGTCCGAAGCCTAATCTGTGAGTCTGCAAATCTAAACCTTTAATTCAAATATCGAAAACTTTTACTAAACATTTAGCAAAAAATCCTTTGTTTCGAATCGGCAAATTTCGTGTTTCTATCCACTATTCTAGAACATGGATGAATGTACAATATTGCAAAGAATATGGCTACTTTCACATTTTGAAGACTGGAAAAAGGATATCTTTTTTATGTCAATATTTACCTGTTGAACTGAGTCTTGAGAATGACTGCACGGAATAATAAAAGAGAATTTAAGATCTGTTTCCGCTTGCCATTGCTATTGGTTTATCTGTTTTTCAAACTTAAATGGTCGTTTATTAGAGAGGATTATTTCAAGATATTTTTTCAAGAGGTAAGTTTTTAATACAATTTTGTTTAAGATTCTGTAGAAAATAATGAAAACTGCAGTCTGTATTACACCGGCTGAAAATGGTGGTCACATCCCAGATGTTTGGCAATTGCTACCAACTCTATAATTACCGTTATCATAACTGCGTAGAAGCACTATTGATTAAGCACATTTGATAAAAACGACATGGCATCATCATAGTTTCTAGAGGGGTTGGAACCCACCCCTACATAGACATACCCACCCCAAATTGGTAACCCACCCCTACATTTGGGTCCAAAATTTTCTTACCCACCCCTACATACAAGCCGAAAAAAAATTCGTTTTTTTCTACGGGAAAGCTGATTTTAGACTTATTTATGGTCTCTCTATGCATACTATATACAACACTGATAAAGTCTATGTATTCACTAATATTGTCAATCAAGCAAGTTCACCAAACTCGCCAAATATCTTCTTCTGATGATGATGCAATCAATGGCTGATGCAATAACATGGTGTCAAATTAGGGAGATATTTTTGGTCCCTTATAGGGTAATATGAAGATAGATGATGCAATAACATGGGGGCAAAAATTGAGTGATGTTGAACTTTGAAGTTATTAACTTTTTTTATCATAGATGCATTTCATCTATTTTTTAATTTTTCTAAATGGAAAATCTCGGAACCCACCCCTACATAGACATACCCACCCCTAGTTTATAACCCACCCCTAGAAATTCAAAATTTTTTCGACCCACCCCTAGAAGGCATTTTTGAAAATTCCAAGAAACTATGATCATGAGATGTTAAAAACGCCATGGCATCGTGAGATGTTAAAAATGACATGGCAAATGAGATGTTGAAACATGTTTATTTTAAAAAAACTTGTCGTATTAATTACCGTTATCACTTCGCTTGATTTCCTTTTTCTACAAACATTTTCAATGTTTCAATTCAAGCATCGTTATCTTAAATTCGATACGAAGGATGGAAAATAGTCTGCTTAAGGAGGCATATACAGTAAAACTTTTACTAAAATTATGAGAGAAAATACTTTGGATGAAATTGATAGTGGTGCAAACAAGGGTGAAGTTGAATATAACGTAAAAACAGACAAAGTTCATATTTTAGGCTTAGAAGATCATGAGTCTGTTGAAGAGAGTTATGTTGACAATAGAAACAGGTTAGAAATGTCTCATGAAACCCTTCAAAATGCTGGTGTATCAGCGAATCAAACTCGTTAAGCTAAAGAGAGTCGTGTGGACGACGTGATTCGTGTTTCCCACGAGAATCGTGGATATAATGTGGGACAAGTTGCTAATCAGTGTCGTGTTGTTGAAGAATGGAAGTCTTCGGAGTTTCATGAAAACGGAAAAAAGGAAAGTGGTAATTTCAATGTTGATGATAACTATGGAGAATATGTGAAGCTAAAGTCCAATGCTCCACTACGTACAGAGAGGTTACAGCCAATCAACTTCTCTTCCAAGGAGACAGCCGCAATGACGTCACGTAGTATGGCGTCACATGACAACCGTTCAAGAAACATGATGCCCAGTGATTCAGTGAGAAATTATACCAACATGGGCTACAGTCAATATGGCGATGATGTGTTTAGTGTTGGTCATCAACAACCTGTTGTTGTTGTGAGAACATTTGATCATCCAGGAAAGTCGTACTATTACAGGTCAGTTGTAATACCGCAGGTCATCAATACTATTATAGGTAAGTCGTATTATCACAGGGCACTTAAACTATTACAGGTCAGTCGCACTACCACAGGGCACTTAAACTATTACACGTCAGTTGTACTACCACAGGGCAGTTATACTATTACAGATCAGTTGTACTACCACAGAGCAGTTATACTAATTACAGGTCAGTTGTACTACCACAGGGCAGTTATACTAATTACAATCAGTTGTACTACCACAGGGCAGTTATACTAATTACAGGTCAGTCGTACTACCACAGAGCAGTTATACTAATTACAGGTCAGTTGTACTACCACAGAGCAGTTATACTAATTACAGGTCAGTCATACTACCACAGAGCAGTTATACTAATTACAGGTCAGTCGTACTACCACAGAGCAGTTATACTAATTACAGGTCAGTCGTACTACCACAGGGCACTTAAACAATTACAGATCAGTTGTACTACCACAGAGCACTTAAACTATTACAGATCAGTTGTACTACCACAGAGCACTTAAACTATTACAGATCAGTTGTACTACCACAGGGCACTTAAACTATTACAGATCAGTTGTACTACCACAGGGCACTTAAACTATTACAGATCAGTTGTACTACCACAGGGCACTTAAACTATTACAGGTCAGTTGTACTACCACAGGGCACTTATACTATTACAGATCAGTTGTACTACCACAGGGCACTTATACTATTACAGATCAGTTGTACTACCACAGGGCACTTATACTATTACAGATCAGTTGTACTACCACAGGGCACTTAAACTATTACAGATCAGTTGTACTACCACAGGGCACTTAAACTATTACAGGTCAGTTGTACTACCACAGGGCACTTATACTATTACAGATCAGTTGTACTACAGGGGCACTTATACTATTACAGATCAGTTGTACTACCACAGGGCAGTTATACTATTACAGATCAGTTGTACTACCACAGGGCACTTAAACTATTACAGATCAGTTGTACTACCACAGGGCACTTAAACTATTACAGATCAGTTGTACTACCACAGCGCAGTTATACTATTATAGCTCGATTGCAGTACAAGTCACTGACTAGAATTCAACTGCACATGTAATCCTACTTTGTTATTTATTCACCTCCAATGGCTTACTATGCTTTATTTTATCAAACACACACGTTGTCTTTCAGGGATGTATTGCTATCGCTAATTGTGGGGGGGGGGGCTTTTGTTCATATATGCACGTTATAAATCCGTAGATAACAATACATTTCAAAAGATATTAATTCAGCATATCATGAATATATGAATAAGAGCCCCCCAATTAGCGATGGCAATACATCTCTCTTGTTTTTCCTTTGATTTTTAAAGTTTCTAAAATTACCATTGCTCTTTGTAGACGAAAGAGATCATTGCCAAGAAACCACTCAAGACTGAACTACAAAAAATCTTTTAAATCTTCTACGACTCGCAGACGAAAACCTTTACCATCTGCCTGGACAATAAACCTTCGAAATTCGCCGCCAAGACATGAAAATTATGAAGATGTTCACTCTTATTACTTACCACCTAGAAGAAAAGCCAAATATCAAGGCTCAACTCGTACACGAGATTACATGAATCACGAAATGAAAGTTGATGAAGCTAAAAATCATGGTTCTGGTGATAGTAAAAGATACATTGTTGAAAACCGTCCAAAACTATCCCATGCTAAAAATGCTAAAACCTCGACTTATTACAAAATTTCTGGTGGATTGCAACTCAGCTCACATTCAGATACGTCAGAAGTAGATTATAAATCATCGCCTATCCTTCACGACCAAATTAAGAATCAAAATTTTCAAGCAATTTATTCCGACAAAAAGTGGGAAGAGAAATCACATGACCCAGAAATCTTGTCCATTGTCAGTGGCAGTGAGTTTTCTGAATTCTTACCCACTCCTCCACGGCCAAGCGACAGCCAGTCAGATATCTCTACGGATGGATATTCCCGTGGTAGTTATAAATCATTTAAAAACAAACTTGAAAGAAACGTTAAAGAAAACAGGGAGGTTGTTGTTGAAGACAGAAGTCAATCAGATCATGAAAAACATAATGAATCATTTGAAGAAACTTTAGAGGTATTTATATGTAAAATAAAGTAAATGTATTTGATTTTTTTTGCTTATCCTTGCACTGCTTTTGGTCTACTCTATTTACTTACTTAAGTTTCAAAAATCTTTCACATCATTGCTTTAGATTGTCTTCTTTCGTACAACATTTTCTATTTTCTATAAACAGCGTTTACGATATGGCGAGACGCGTGAGAGGAATGGAAACGAAAGTAGAAAAAACGTCGGTTCATTTAATAAAGAAACGAGCAGTTCATCGTGGACTCATAATGACAGCGGTTTTAGAAAGAAACATCATGTGCCAATAAATGGTGTTCAAGTCCTACCACCAGAACTAATTTTTATTCAGTTTGAAAGTAGCGATGAAGAGAAAGAAAATTGAAGATGAATGATTTATTAAGAAGCTATTTTAGACTTATAAATGGTTCACTTTATTTGGTGAATTTACTATCTATGTAATATCTTTCTATTTATTTTTCATACATTTGAAGGACATTTAAATCCACAAATTATTCATTCTCCCCCCTCCCCCCATGGAGAACATAAAGCATTTTTTCAAAAAAATGTACTTCCTACTGTTATTTTGAAATTTCTACATTGTTAAAATAATCTTTTTTATGACGACATTGCAAACAAGGCGTTATTATTGATGTTTCTAACCTGACGGTAAACGTTATAGAAATACACTTGTTGAATTATCTATAGGAGACTGTGATCGGAAATCAGTGGTTTATCTGTAAGTTTACCAGACTTTGTTACAATGTATTCTTTACATAATTAAAAGCTGATATTTTTTAAAAATACTTGAGTTTGATATTTCTTTTAGGGTGTATATATTAACAACGTTATGAAAATTATATTGCGTCAGACGTTAATTTTCATTGCCGAAAGTTTGTGTATGTAACTTATTTATATCTCCCTTTACAAATACTCCGATTTAGTGTAAAAATATTCTACCAATCACGTAAAAAACATAAAGTTTGTAGGCAGTAACTATACGGATTTAAACAATTCTATAGCATTAGAGTGTTTTCTTTTGCTGCGTTTTTAATCACAATTAAACTTTCATACATACAGAATCTCGACAGTGTTATATTTAACGTTTTCACGATGCTTTAGCTTTGTTAGCGTGTATACTTTCTCTTCTTCATGACAATTTTATGAACTACGTTGGCGGAAGTGGACACGCAAGCAAATTGTATTATGAGAACTATAATTCTTGAGAAAAATGTTCTTGGTGTTTATCTAAATTAATTTTTTCATTTATGATATGTATATAAACCATTTTGCATTGATACCTTAAATATTGTCATTCGTGAACATTTTCATGAAATGATTTAACAAGAAACGATTGCTTGTCTTCGATTAGCTCATCGTACAACTGAAAATGTCGGAAATGTCTTGTCCTATATCAGATACTTGTGTATATCAAACATTATCTGGATTTTGCAGCATTTGAATTAAATTAGTCTCTTCAAGTTTGCATTCCATTACCTATATACGGGGGGTGGGGGCTGGTGGGAGCGCATAGTTTCAGTCTACTCTATGTTTTAAAGAGTAGCTATATTCCTATAGTCTTTGTGAACGTTAAGTAAATTACAACTATTGCAAATATTGAGGATTATCGATGATCGACTTCATATATACGTTAATGTTTGAAAAACAAAAGAAATAAAATTTACCGGTTCATTAAATGCACCATGCTAAGCAAAACAAGAATGATGAGAATATTTAAATGACTTGTTCTCTCGCAGTCGGATATGAATGCAATATGAATACGATATGAATAATATATGTTTTTATTAATTATCTTTTCTTTTATAACAAAGAAATATATTGCAACGCCGCTTTTAACAGATTTTAAACTGTCTTAAAGCTTTTGTTTGAGCTAAATTGATTTAATCTTTATTCCTAACATCTGCATTCTTCAAAAATTATCATTTTCCTATCCAAGTAAAACATGTTTCTTTTACTGCTGGGATAATGACGATATTGAAAATCATATTTATCGTTCAAATGATCATGATGTTTTTAAATTGTCGTTAAGTTTCGATTGTTTTCATAAAGTTGGCAAGTCTTTGAACAAGCATGGTTTGTTGAAAATGTTGTTAAGTGTGTGTTGTTTTTATACACTTACAGGAAAATTTTGCTGTCTAAAGTTGGCAATTTTTTGAACTAGCATGGTTTATTAAAAAGAACAAAGATTGACATCAGTGGCGTAGCTAGACTAAAACAACTAGTCGTGCTACTGTGATTGTAAACATGAATTACTAAAATGATTGGTGCTAACATAAATCGGTGGTGCCATTATGGTTGATGCACTCCTAGAATTTTTAATTTTAATTTTAACATCTTAATTCTCAAAATCATTTTTTTATTTCAAATCAAATCAAATCAAATCATTAATTTATTTCAACTAAATAATCTTTTTGAAATAGCCCTTTCGCCCAATGTCAGGGCTCATCAGCATGCCTAGGAACTACAATTTCATTTACATCATAGATCAATGACAAATGGTTAACGTGTAAATCCCGCATGGACAGCCTTATAAAAGGCTGAATGAGCAATCTGGTTTTCAGGCGCCAGAAACTCGCCTTTCACACCTTTGCATGAAAACAAAGGACTTCGGTTAGACAAGGGAAACTTTTTGGAACATTTCATGGAGATACAGTTGCTCAATTTTGCATCTTATTCCAGCCGTTTCTAACCCTTTAGGAATATATAATTTGGTCGTGCCGGCCTGAGTGAGCACGACTAAAAACGGGCGAAAGACGTTGCTTGTGTTTTTAGAGCATTGATTCAGGCAGGCATCGGGTTAAAACACAAGTATAGTGTGAAATATGATGTATGTGATGATTAATCGACTTTTTTGTGTGTTTCTTCTAATGTATTTGCTTATGTCTCACACCAAAGGCATTTTTGAAAGCATTTGCGTGTAAAATTTAAACTAAGCCATTTCAAAACTCCTCCAAACTTCTCCACCAAGGGTCGCCAGGTCACTATATCTTGCTGTGATCTTTTCAAATTGAGAAAATTTATGTAGGTATGAGGACTTGCAAAACAAGTCATTCTTGTTGTTTTGATGCTTGTAGTCAGACGGTAGTAAAAACGGTGAAGAAGTCAATAGTATTGAATTACTTGAAGACCGGAGAATTTTTTGTAAGTTTTGCAGACTTAGTTGTTTTGTACTCTCATCAATAGTCAATATTAAAAACCGGAACGCTTTAAAACGTAAGGTTGAATTTTGCGGATTTTTTCATTCATTAGAAAATTCATTGTGTCAGAAGTTAAATTTGATCACATAAAGCCTGTCTTCCTTATTTATATGTCTATTTTCCGAGTACAAATCTTCATATTTTATTTTTAACAGAATGATTCTTTGCAACTCACCGGAAACAAAGAAAAATTATTTAGGCAATAACAATTTAAAGTAAAACCATTTCATAATAATTGGTTTACTTTTTGTACATTTTTTATTCTCTAGTCAAGATGTAGATTTTCAATTTCCAAAAAACAAGGCAATAACATAGGTTTTTACTTTGTTAACGTGTATTCATGACAAGAGTGGTATGATACACGTGGCAGAAAGAGCACACGCAAGCAAATTTTCTTATAAAAAAGAATATGCTTGGGAATGATTTCAATACTTAGAGTTATAGACTGATAAGTTTATTTCATAAAGGTGAAGCACCTTATTGATGAGAATTAGAAGAATCAAACTTTTGAGATAGTTTATCATCAACCAATTATCTATGCTGCATTACTGCAATCTCGAATAGATTAAATGCAACTTTTATCAAATGTATATCTTTTGAATCTTCCAAAGATTCATTTGTGTGCTTTTTCCGTATACTATTTAACTAAGGTGCCAACGGATTATAAGAATTTGATTCTTGGTGCGTCTTAAGATTCTCTTTTGACACAGATTCATCGCGCTTTAGACCTGAACTTTGGGGTTTATTATAAGTTTGTCATGTAAGTTGCAATTTACAATGCATTGTGACGTGTGGGTACCTCCCTATTTGGAAACTACATACGAATTAAGATTGGACTTCACCGAGGGCTTTGTACTACAAGACATTTTAAAATTTTTCGATCCAGCTTAACCTCATATACCTCTATATTAAAAAAATTGGCGCCTTTATTTTGTTGTTTGGTTTTCTTTTCTAGAAAAATCATTATTTACTACAACTTCATCAGTAAAACGCTGAGCATTTTTCAAAGCACGTTTCGGTATTGACGCATCTTTGCTCATACATGCGCAATTTTGCTCAAATATGTATTAGACACGAGTTAGAGCAAATGTCCCAATTTATATATATTAATCTACGACTATGTGCAACTATATGCAAGACAGGTATTCGACATAGTTTGGTGGTTCTGATCTGACGAGAACAAAAATGGTAAAGAAATCAAAATTTGTGACACCGTTAACTCAAAGATTGTCACATTGATTGTAGATTTTTCTGACTTTATTGTATTGTTTCCTTCTTCGCTTGTTTCAACACCTGTGTATAAAAATACTAGGAAAAAAGATACTCAAAAGAAATAAGACGGAAAGTTTTAATGGATCATTTTATTTAATTTCAAGTTGTTGCATCTTGCGTTGTGTTCATATGATAAATAATGTATTGTAGCTATAAGACGTTTACAGAGTTAGAAGACTTTCGTGACTGTGGGAGTGGGGGTTTGCAACGTGCAATTACCGACAAACACGTGGTTGATATATATATCGTGATGAATCCTTTGCATGACGTTACAAAAGTAAGTCGTTCCAAACTTTTCCTTCGACTGACAAGCTCCATAAAAAGAAGCATTTTGCCAACTTTACACAGCCTTAAAAATGGAACGTTTTGAGAAACTTAAAAACTTTTTTACTGATACGGTGGAAATCACCCCTAAATTCAATGCTGCTGAAATGGGCACTTGAATAAATTAATTAACTTACGAAACTTATCGGGGTGAAATGTTAAAACATTCATAATTTACGAGAATTTATTTACCTTCAATTTGCAAAATTGCCGTTTCTTTAACCTATTGGTATATAACACCCTACACACACTCTACATCCATGTTAGTCAGATCTCTCATTTGCTTGCTCTAAACTTCCATAAATGAATTTCCTCTATTGTAGTTTAGAAACTAAAGAGTGGACTAAATAAAGCTTATAATTTTGCCTTATATAGTTAAACAGTTTAACTTTGATGTTTGGCGCATAACAATAAGTGCAATAAAGAAAAGTTTGCTGTTCACATGAAGAACATTGGAGAACTTAGATAAATTTTTGCGTGACTACTAGAAGAGATCTAGCTTTCCCGGTTCCAGCAGTTATGGAGATCTTGGAAGAAGGGAATTGTTCTATGAATAATGGCGATTATGAAACGGCTATTGAACATTACAATAGTTGTGTAGAAGTTGCAGACGAGAAAAGCATCAAAATGATGGCTTATTTTTGTCTTGGTAATGCTTACACGCTCTCTGATAAAGGGGAGGAAGCAATAAGCTGCTTTAATGATTGTTTGAATCTTTCTTCTCAACTGGAAATTAAATATTTTCAACATCAAATATACTTTGGGTTGGGGAGTATCCATTCTACCACTAAAAGATTGGAGGACAGTATAAAGAAAGAAGAAATGGTCTGTCTCTGTCATGTTGCATTGGGAGGATTGAATAAGTTACTTGAAAATTATGAAAAATCCTTGGAGCATTATAGGAAAGGATTCTCTCTGATTGAAAGTCAAGAGCTAGAAGACGAAATGCTACGTTTACAACTGGAAGACAGTGAACAAAAACATTATCAAATGCAGCGACAAAAAAAGGTCAGAAAAGGTGGTATTAACGTTAGTAAAGATTTTGTCAACTGTAACATGAAGAACTTGTCAATTGTTACTTCAGCTGGAATTGTGAATGGAGTGTTAGCTGTTTATTGGGAATTAGCTGAACTGTTTGATAAACTTGAAGAACTGAGGGATGCAATAGATGTTTATGAAATGTATCTTCATATCGTCAACAATGATAAAGATATAGCAAAACAAAAGAACGCTATGGAACGTCTGATACGATTATATGAGGAGGAAGGACGTGATTTGCAAAGGGATTCGATGAAAGAGAAGTTACATGAAGTTGACAAAATTATAGGTACAAAATTCAAATAAATTCAATTTGATTAAGATGCAAAGTTTTGTTTCAAATTTACTAATATTTTAAGTTTTGGATTAAAAACTTGACAATCATTCATTTAAAATTTTTTCAGCGCTTATACAAATTTTGAAAAGAATTACTTGTCATTCTTTGAAAAAATCTATTTTTTTGTTTCTTTTTATTGAACATAAAAATATTACTACAGCTAGAGTAAAAACTCAGCAGGGTGTGTGTCTGTATTTTTCTAATCTGTAGTCATATTGTATTTTATTAAGTTGTATCAACTATCCTCCACTTCAGATAGAACTGTTTGCTAGAACGGGTGGTTTATGATGTAGTGGTTGCTTTTAGTACTTCTATCAAACTATACAGTCGCTATCCAATTTCTCATTGTAATAGTCCATCTTTAATTATTTTTATGTATTTTATTATCCACGTTTATTTCTAAATTTAATTTTCCTCCTTCAATTTCAGAATTGCAACTTCAAGAATGGAAATATAATGATCCATCGATAAAACACCAAGAATTATTTTTAAAAATGATTGAGTATGGGCGAGATCCTAATGTAAAAGTTTCACTTTTAAATGATGTTCGAGTAATTTTCTCAGATGAATTTTGCATTGGCAAAGGAAGTGATGGAACCCGTGTTTATCTTGGACTGGGAAACAATGGTTATGGAAAAGCAGTAAAGCGAATACACAAAGATAACGGCAAAGACTTTGCAAATCGAGAAAAAGAAATTTTGAATGTGTTGAATGCAAAGCGATCAAATTATGTTGTGAATTTTTGCCATTTAGAAGAGAACCTTGACAAAGAGTATTTGTACGTGGTTTTGGATTTGTGTGAAGAATCGTTAGAGAGTTATGTGAAATCTTCTTCTTTGCAAGATCTTCAAAAAGTCGTTCCTAAAGTTCTTATTCAGATCTTAAATGGTCTAGTTCACCTTCACAGCGGTGAGCGTCCTATTCTTCATCGGGATTTGAGACCCTCGAACGTTCTTCGAGATGTACAAGGAAATTTTTTAATCGCTGACTTTGGTATAAGTCATATGTTATCTGATGAAACTTCGACACATCTGAGCATACAAAGAGGAGCTAAAAATTGGATAGCTCCAGAGTCATATGACGTATCAGATGCATCAATTAATAAAGTTCGTTACAAAAAAGAGTCTGACATTATGGTAAGTTCTTGAAGTAGAACTAGAGGTCCAACCACAGCTCAATGTTTTATTTGCATTTAATTAGATATTGGTATTTGGTAGTAATAATGATTTTACCTCAATTTTTTTCTTTACCTCGACTGTATCGTCATATAGTGTCAACCTACATATTTGATTAAAAATAAATAAATTTTTGTTAATCGTGTTACAGTTACAATTGTATGTTCCTTATTTTGATTGCTTTTAATACATATATATGGCTACAATTCTATTTGGAGAACATTTTTTAGATTTTTTTAAGCTGCACATTTATTGTTAAGTTCTGCAAATCGCAAATAAATTTAATCTTTAAGGTTTTAGTATCCACCACTGACTGTTTATGACAATTTTTTATTGAAAATAGAATGCCGGAATGGTGGCTTATTATGTTGCAACAAAGGGAAAACATCCTTTTGGACATGAACGACATAGACTGGACAACATTTTGAATGGAAACCAAGTTGGATTGGACGAAATCAAGGATGCCACGTTCAAAGACCTTTTATCGTGGATGCTACAGTTAATACCTGAAGACAGGCCATCTGCCGATAAGGCGTTAAAGCACCCTTATCTACAATCAGATGAAGAAAAATTTAACATGCTGTGTGATATGGGGAACCAACTGGAGGTGAAATATTCACAAGGTCAAAATTCTCCCCCTTCAGACGATCAGTTGTATGGTTTCACAACATGGATGAAGCGTATCGATGATGAAGTCGTCAAAGATTTGATCAACTTTGAAGTGAACGACAGTATAAGAACTCTAAACTACGAGTCTACGTGGGCAGGATGCTTAAGATTTATACGAAACGTTGACCAACATTGCCAAAATAAGCCTCGTCCGCATCTATCACAATATATGAAGCAAGGCAATTATAAAAAGTATTTCTTGCAATGTTTTCCTGAACTTCCTCTTCTGGTGCACAAAATCATAAGGACAACTGACTGGAAAACAAGACCTGATCTCAAGAAATATTTTACGAGTAAGTAAAAGCTACGAAAATGTTTTTTTTTCTCGATGTTGTAGCTAATTAATGGTTCCATGACACTATAATGTTCAAACTTAATTGTCATTTTCACCGTAATCGTACACTCGTTTCCTAGGATGTACTATTTTGATGTTGATTTCTGGTAATGATTATTTTAGTATTGAGGTTTTCAATTATCCTATCACAACTCTCAACTGCTTTAATTTTATGTGTTTTATGCATGCTGTCAAGACGTTTACTATTTCATTATTTCTCATTTGGGGTAAAGTTGGTCTTTTTGGCAGCCTTATAACATTTCTTTATTTCAAATTACTCTTGCAACCATGCATTCTTAGATACCAAGTTGGTTGAACAACTTGAAGAAATCAATGGAAAGAAAAGTGAAGATATAAATGGCGATATGGATCTTGACGGTAAATATAATTCTTGCTTTGTCACTCTTAAATCATAAATCTTAGGCTTGTAGGAGAGTAAGAATTAAACATAAGCAAAATGATGTGGTAAGACGAAAAGAAGAGCTGATGTGTTTGTTTGAAAGGATATGGTTATATATTTAGTCATTGAATTAGGAAAATTCATTAAGCACCAAAATGCAGTTTTATTATCGACGATTTGGCTGAATGATGGTTCCGTGACAATATGCAAGAGATACCTGTAAGCTTAAAAATCTTTCTATGAATTAAATTTTTTATGGGTATCGTATAAATGCTCTGCATTATTTCTCTCAACTCCATTCAACTTTAGTTGTGTACATTGTGTTTTAGACTTATATTTGAGAAAGTTCAATATTTTGTTTGTGTATTTCTCATTCGAAAGTAGTTTCGTCTTTCTGGCTGCAATTTGAGTTTGCTTGAATTAAAATAGTTTCCTTTTGCTTCTAGTAGAAATTGAAAGAGTAAATGGAAGGAAAAACAAAGAAAACCCAAGCCATGACGGTATTTGATAGCAACAAACTTACTTGTTTGTGTGGAAGGGGTCTATTATGCATTGTTTTCGTGGATTAGTTTGAAGTGGTATGCTTTTATCATTTGTTCATTTGTTCAAAGTTGTGAATAAGTCGTTTGTAGGTGCCTGTAATTGTTGTGATCTGTTCAGTTTCATAATGGGTTTTTTTCTGAGTTAGAATAGCAACTTTTTAACGTGAATAGTCTGTATTCAGTGCTGTATGTGATGAATTATGCCGAGTCTTTGTTGTGATTTGTCATTCGATGCTGTTCGGGAATGTGGTTGGTGTTTTAAAACGTGTTTTAGATAGTTATTCTCGTGGTAGTTTTCTGTTATATAGGATTGTAACATGGTGGTCTAGCGTGTGTTGATTTGTTGTATTTACCGTAGCATTTAGCGTCACTTACAGTACAATGGTAAACACTAGAAGCAGTTATACGGAACAGCAATAGACTCGCCTGTCTCTGTTGTAGTTGTTATAAAATTTTCATGTAAACTGTAAAGGAAAGGGTGCGCTCACTACCTACCAATACGTACTACTTTTTTGGTTCCGCTTGGTAGACGATATAATCACTAAATTTGTAAACTTTTATCGTTGTTTTTGTGAAAGTCGTTTTGCTAAGAATTTATTTTTTTACTTTTTTACATATACATCGAATTTAGTATTTTTGAAAGATGGATTGGATATGGAAGAGAACGAAGATGTTGCTCAAAGTCAAAAGCTGGACTCTTTCCTTAAATCATTAATACAAAGCGGAAGGTGGAAGGTTGGTGACATGTATAGGTTTCGTCGTTCTTTGGTGTTGGGAAGCGCTAAAGGGACTTTATACATTTGCAAAAGAATGTTAGGCTCAGAAAATGAGCAAGTCGTTTTGAATCTTTTAAAAGCAGGAAGGGGTGTTGAAGTTGTCAATGAAATAGAGAAGTATAGCATTGAAGGACGAACAGTAAGACAGCAGGCCATCGTGTTTTTTCTTGCTGTTTGTGCCCGGAAGGGAGATCTTGCCACAAAAAGACAAGCATACGATGCTTTGCCCAAGATCTGTCGAATTCCGACTCTTTTGTTTATGTTTATTGAGTTCTGCAAGTTGTTCAGTCAGCCTGGCAAAGGTTGGGGTCGTGCCCATAGGAATGCCATAAAACGATGGTACAAAGAAAAAGATCCATGTAAACTGGCGATGGATATCACCAAATATCAAAGGCGTGAAGGATGGTCACATAGGGATGTTGCAAGGTTAATGCATCTCAAGCCAGAAGGAACTGATGTTTCTGATGAGTTGTTTGTTATAATGAAGTATGTTGTTTGTGGTTGGCAGAGGCTTTTTGAATATTTCTTTCCTGAAGATAATACAGCTCCACATCGTCCTATTGGAGAGAAGGGCAGTGCAATGTTGGTGTTTTTTAAAGCAGTTGAAGAAGTAAAAACAGCGCAAGAGGAGGCAAGAGTGGTTGAACTGATAAATCAACATAATCTTGTTAGAGAACATATTCCAACACATTGGCTTAATTCTAAAGAGGTAAAAGCATTTCATGTTTTATGTCCTTTCTACGTAAAGTTTTGAAAGTGTAATCAAGGGCAGTGTTTATCATTTGGAATGATTTTAGATACAAGTTGTTCAAATATGTATAAAACATATCATATTATTTTTGTTCTAAGAGATTGCTTATATTAATCTGAAGCATAATGATCACATATAAATTATTTATAATTATATCCTCTTTTTAAGGTTTGGAGGGCTCTTGTTCAAAAAATGCCAATGACTGCAATGCTTCGAAATCTTGGCAAAATGACAATAGTTGAACTACTAGACGAGCAGATGGCATTGTCCTGTATATGTGAGAAGTTACTCAATCAAGATCTGTTAAAGAGAGCTCGTATTCATCCATTTAATGTTTTGGTTGCTCTAAAAATCTACGTGGATGGTCATGGTGATAGGGGGAAACTGACATGGAACCCAAATGAAGCTATTGTTAATGCATTGAAAGAAGCTTTTTACTTATCATTTAAGGTTTGCAATGTCTTCTCCCATGATTGACTAAATATTGTCTTATGATCAAATCACAAAATATTTTTACTTTTTTGTTGTGAATTTGTTATTCAGTCTAAAGTGGTTATGAATATATCAGCAAATACCATGACCAGTCCCTTTTCTAAATGAAAATTGTTCATTGAATAAGTGCATTAAACTGCAGAAGTCTAAAATGTAAATTTATGGCTATGCTTGCTAAAAAATTTAAATTGCATAACATTAAAGCATTAAAGTGAATGGTGAATTCAGCCAACTCAGACCTACATGTTAAATAACCTAGATGTTGAAGTTTCACAGCCCTTCTTAACTTAGCAATGGAAAATTGATCTTCTCTATTTTATTGCGTAGTTGATTCAGCCAACAAACAAGAGATACATGTTGGCATTGGATGTCAGTGCTTCCATGTCTTATTCTGGTTTTGCTGGTACGCCATGTTTAACGCCATGTGTGGCTGCTGCAGTCATGTCCATGGTTACAGCTCGGACCGAAAGCAAACATCTGTTTGTTGCTTTCTCTTATAAAATAGTTCCATTAATGATCAGCAGTGACATGACATTAGATGAGGTTGTAGAACTTATGAAATTGGTATGTAGTATGAACTTATATTAATTTGTATCGTTTTTATTACATTAAAAACATAACCTTGTTCCTGTTTTCCATTCTCTAGATACCAAATGGTGGGACAGATTGTGCTCAACCAATGTTGTATGCAATTGAGAACAATCTAGAGGTGGATGTTTTTATTGTTTATACTGACAGTGAAACAAAAGCTGGGTTCATCCATCCAAGCGAGGCCTTGAAAAGGTATCGTCAGTATTCTGGTATTCAAGCCAAACTCATAGTTGTTGCTATGACTTCAAATGGTTTTACAATTGCTGACCCAGAAGATATTGGAATGCTGGATATTGTTGGCTTTGACTCAGCTGCACCACAAATGATAAGAGAGTTTATCTCGAGCTAATAGAACAGCAAATGATTTCTTCAGAGATATTTTTGTGGAAATGTACAATGAATACAATCTTACAATGTCTGAACAATTTTGCTTGTCCTACAGAATACATGAAATGTTTTATCTATTTAATGGTGTTTGATACATAAGTAATATGCAATGTGACATTGCTTCATGTGAACATACAGTGAATTATAGTTGTGCTGTTGAAAAGTGCACCAGATCAAAGACTTCAACATTTTATAGTATGGTTTAGTTAAGTGCTTCACTTATATTGATAATGGCGCATCGATATCGACGTATAGGTTCTAAAATAGAATTATTAGTATCGGTATTTTTCTTGCGCACAATACCGATATTTAGACATTTGATTGAAAAAGAAATACAATCAAAATGAATCACAGTTTAACAATACTAAATATATTACCTTTAACAATTTTTGTGAAATTAATACTACTTAAATTTGTTAGTTCCACATGATATTAACTTCCATTGACAATTGTGTTGTGAAATAGGGTTGTGTGCAAAGAGCCACTTTGAATTTTATATTTTTATATCAAATGAATTGGTGAGCACAAAGTGGCATACTTTATGATGATTAAGTTTCGTAAAATGGCATAAAATATCGATATCGGCACAATAACGGCATTTTAATTTCGTTAAACGGCATATCTGCAAAATCCTATTTCGGTGCATCACTAGTTTAGATCAGCTAGACTGTAGAAATTCATGACTTAGTTGCATCTTCAATTACAATGTTTTATAATTGGTTTATTAATTTAACAAAATTAATAAATCAATTTAACAATGTCACGTTTTGTAATGTATTCAATTTATGAAACTACTAACGATTGCCAATTAACACAGCGAGGAAAAACCGAGGAACGTGCAGCGTGGTATCTTGACTAGCAGAGTAAACTGATAGCTTTCAAGGTAATGATTTGGAGTTTTTAAACTCGTTGCAATACTACATGTTAAGTAAAATGTAATCTTGTCTGTAGCATTTCGTATTTTAGCTTGTTCATTTACGCAAATGTAGTGTACATGTACCAGATTATGTCTTAATTAGAGTGGAAACGATGTTTAAAAGACAGGCTGAAGTTGTTTCATTGAAAACCTAAATCAAAATCTCAAGTACAAGACAATGTAAATTGAAAGAATTTTATATGCAGTGCGGTGTTTTGAAATTAAATAAAGATATGATCTTCGCACTTTGCTGGATAATTTAAGCAATTGTCTCATAAACCTGAAAAATTCAGGTGACTCAACGGGATTCGAACCCATGACCTCTGCGGTGCGGTGCAGAGCATAACAAATTGACCTGCTTTCCACTGTGTGACTTCATAGCTCAGTTGGTTAGAGCACTGCACCGGCATCGAAGAGGAAACGAAAGCTTCACTCACCTGGCGAGATATATTTTTCTTGAGCAACATAAACAACTGCTGTAACACATTTTTGATATATACCATGCTCAAGTCAAGCAGGATTTTCACACATCCAAATAGGTAGAACCAGTCTCTTGTATTGCTAGAGAAGCATAATCATTGATATAGATTTATACATTATATTTGCTTATTTGATCAATAACCAATGATTGATCATCGTTTTCTGAGACAAACCGTGATCGACCTGTCATTCTTAATACTGAAGAGTATCGTAGTATAAATGAAATACATGCTCACTTTGTTTGATTGGTCGTACATTGTTTCGTGAATGCTTTAGTTTAAACTCTGATGATGTGGGTAGATATCGATAAAACATTTTAAGTGTATGGACGCAACTGCTTTATCTGATTGATAATTTTCGAGTTAGGGTCTCAAGCTGTAATTGAGGCAAGTTTTTCGCTGTGTTGAGGAAATTTGGGAAAACCAGTTCTCTGTAGTGACGTTAAGGCAAAGGATTTCAAAAGATCGGCTAGAAGAAATCATTCCATGGCGTTTGATTTGATTGAAGAGAAAAGAATTTCCGAGTAAAATCCCTAAAGAAGGTGGATAAGGAATATTCGATCTTTCGAAAGATGTTGGTGCGAAATTGTGGTTACTTGGCGGTAATATCTCAGTTATCAAAGATGTCGTTGCAAGATTATGTTGAAGTTAGCAAATCGTTTTGATAAAAGCAGGTGTTTGTAGAATAAATGATTGTGATGCATAATAATTTTAATAACTTCTGCTAATGTCAATGCTAATGTTCCACACTTTGCTTATTGCCTTTGTTAAACTTTTTCGGTTATTTTGCTGGTACTTACTTCACCTCTGTGGTAATGCCACGAAGGGGCTGCAAGACAAAGGACAACATACACAATCTCCTTGTGTGACGTTGGCATTTGAAGCTGCTCAACTGATATGAAAATCATCTTTTTAATCACAACCATGAACCATCGGCTAAGTAATTCACTTTTAAAATCACTATTTCTAAAAGTGGATGATGGTATGATGAAAGGTTTGTAATCAGGGATGATAAAGATGGCCGTAAAGATGACAGTGAAGTGAATGATTTCACAAATGTGAGGAATTTAAAAATCTGAATGGATAATTTGATGATGTCATACAACTCGTTTCAACTCATTCCCCAGGGATCAACATGTCATTGGAGGAAGCTGCCATATTGGTGTTCCAAGCAAAAGAATTTCATTAGAATTCTTTTCATTTAGTACACCAACATGGCAGCAATGACGTTGGATGAAAGTGATCTTTGTACATTTATTTAACATGTTTGTTAGCATTCGAATTTATCATTGATCAAATACAGTTACAAAAATAAGTTGCATTACGCTGGCAGAGTATTGCAAAATCTTCACAAATTCAAGGTCTATTTGAAGTGATTACCGTATAAATCAAACAAGCTGTCGAGTGTCGACGTGAAATAAATCGTCACTTTTCGTACGTATATCTGGCACTGTTACAACATTAAGGGATGTTATAACAGTGTCTTCATAGCATTTAATTCAAGTAATTAAGTTTCAGTAAATGTTGCAGTATGCGGTAAACGGTCATGTAACCCGCATGATAACCACGTTGCATGATGGCTTAACCATTACTGTAACATAAATTAAATTAATGTTTTGAAAGAACATTAGGCCTAGAAAATGCGACAGTCGTCGTCGGGAATCTTTTGGAAGCAGGAAGGGGTGTTGAAGTTGTCAATGAAATAGAGAAGTATAGCATTGAATGACGAACACCAAGGCAGAAGGCCATTGTGTTTTTTTCTCGCTGTTTGTGCCCGGAAAGGAGATTCAGCCACGAAAAGAGAAGCATACAAGGCTTTAACCAAGATCTGTCGAATTCCGACTCATTTGTTTATGTTTATTAAGTTCTGCAAGTTGCTTAGTCAGCCTAGCAAAGGTTGGGGTCGTGCCGTTAGGAATGCAATAAAACTTTGGTACAAAAAAAGGACCCATAGAAATCGGCCATGGATTTCACCAAATATCAGAGGCGTGAAGGATGGGCACATTGGGATGTTGCAAGGTTAATGCATCTTAAGTCAGAAGGAACCGATGTTTCTGATGAGTTGTTTGTTATTATGACGACATTAAGTTCTATGATAGAACTTAATGAATGACCTCCTTTGGATGTATTGGTGCAAGTGTAATAAATCCTCACGTGGCTTCTGCTGCAATGGCTATGATGACAGCACGAACAGAAAAACATCACAAATTTGTTGCATTTAAGTCAAGAAATAGTTCCAATGAAGATCTCCAGTAACATGAATTTGAATGAAGTTTTGAAGATTTGTAATGAAGTAAGTTCTTCAAAATACTCGAAAGATTTAAAGAATGTAGTGTAAAGCAAAAAATTTGATATTGTATTTTTCAGATTTCAATGGGTCAAACCGTTTGTGCTCAACCCATGCTTTATGCCATTGACAAAAATTTAAAGATTGATGTCTTTATTGTTTACACAGAGTTTGAAACATATCATGGCAAAGTTCATCCAAGGGAGGCTCTCAAACAATATCGTTACCATTCAGGGATTCACGATGCTAAACTCATTGTGGTTGCCATGACATCAAATGGTTTCACTATTGCTGACCCAGATGATCCTGGAATGCTTGATATAGCTGGCTTTGACTCTGCTGCAATACAAGTGACGAGAGAGTTTATTGTTGTATTATTGTTTTCTTGGTATTGGTCTGCTGTGCCAATATCTGCGGTACTTCAGACCAGCGGTACTCATTCATATGTTTTATCCGTCATATTATTGTTTTGTAGCATTTTAAGTTGTGTTTTAAAGTTAAATAAAGCCAGAGAATGGTAAATTACAACAATTTATTTAACTTTATTTAAATTCTTCAAAATGGAAACGATATTGAAACCGCAACGTCTCGACTTGGACCCAAATTCGCCGTCAGCCGCGAAAGAGTGGAAACATTGGCTCCAAACGTTCAACAACCTCATTCCAGAATGCGGCGATAAAGCCCCAAACAAACACCGTACTCTCATCAATTATGTCTCTCACAACGTTTACGATTACATCGAAGATTTTCAGGACTTCGACTCGTCTATTGAAGCACTAAATAATCTGTATATCAAGCCCCCGAATGAAATATTTGCACGTCATCTACTTGCTACAAGGCGCCAAAAGCCTAGTGAGTCGCTTACAGAGTTCCTACAGGAACTTAAAAGGTTAAGCAAGGATTGTAACGTCAGAAGTGTGACTGCAGAACAATATAGGGAGGAATTAGTCCGTGACTCTTTTATTAATGGTCTTCTATCACCACTAATCCGCCAACGACTTCTGGAGAACAGGCAACTCGACTTGAAGACGGCGTTTGATCAGGCCAACGCGTTAGACTTAGCCCAGAAAAACTCTGAAGCCTATGCTCCAACCGAAAACTCGGCAGCTTCTATTTCTACTGAAAGTGGTGGTGAGGATCCTTTACCAAGTGATAACCATGTGTCAGCAGCAGTCAAACCCCAAAGAAAGTGTTATTTCTGTGGCGGCGCTATTCACAATAGAAAGGAGTGCCCTGCACGCAATTGTGTCTGCAACAATTGTGGTAAAACTGGCCATTACGCTAAAGTTTGCCAGTCTCAGGCTGTAAAAGGGACTAAGACTACAGCATCAATAAGATCTGCCTAACTCTGCTCCATAAGTGCCGCCTGTCCAAAGAGCCTTATGCAAGCATCCACCAAAGTCAGTGTCAAAAGTACTGTTCTTACTGCCCTTGTTGACTCTGAGAGTTCAGATAGCTACATCCATGACAAGGTAGCTAACCAGCTCAACCTGAAATTATTCAAGTCCGATGACAGTTTGTCTATGGCTCTCACATCACTTAAGGCCAAAGTTCTTGGCCATTGCTTTGTTGACATCCAACTATGCCACCAGTGTTATTCATCTGTACGTTTAGGGGTACTGAAGGATCTCTGTAGTGATATCATTCTTGGCCAGGACTTTCAAAGGGAACATAAAAGTGTTCTCATTGAGTTCGGTGGGGAAAAGCCCGAACTTAAAGTACCCAACGGGGTACCTGTATGTGCTCTTGCAGTAGCATTTATTGAGGAACCATCCCTCTTCGCGAACCTCCTCCCCGAATGTAAGCCTATTGCAAGCAAGTCGCGGAAATTCAGCAAGGAGGACCAGGAATTTATCAAACAAGAAATTAACCACCTACTCGTTGAAGGCATAATCGAACCTAGCACCTCGCCCTGGAGGGCTCAAGTCGTTGTATCAAAGGACCCACTAAAACGACACAAGAAGCGGCTTTGCATTGATTATTCTCAAACCGTCAACCTCTACACGGAACTCGATGCATACCCGTTACCCCGTATCGACAACATGGTCAACAACCTAGCTTCATATAGAGTCTTCTCAACGTTCGACTTAAGGAGTGCCTATCACCAGGTACCGATCAAGAAAGCCGACCGAAAATTTACCGGTTTCGAGGCCAATGGTAAGCTTTACCAGTTCTGTCGCATCCCCTTTGGAGTAACCAACGGCGTCGCAGTTTTCTAAAGAGCGATGGACAAGTTCGTAGAAGAGGAGGGCCTGAAAGATACATTTCCTTACCTCGATAATATAACTGTTGCAGGCTACGATCAGTTCGGGCATGACGAAAATGTGAGGAAATTCAGAGAGGCTGTAAAGCGCCGAAACCTCACCCTGAATGAAAACAAGACAGTAGAGTCCAAGTCTTCTATCAATCTACTTGGTTACTGTATAGGGAATGGTGTCATCGCCCCAGACCAGGAAAGGCTTCGTCCACTTAAAAGCTTCCCTCCTCCCGAAAATTCCAAATTCTTGAAAAGAGTTATCGGTATGTTTGCATACTACGCAAAATGGATACCAAACTATTCTGACAAAGTACAACCGCTACTACAAGCAACCTCATTTCCACTTGATGGCGATGCCCTGAATGCATTCACAATGCTGAAGGACGAGCTGCAGAAAGCGTCATTACACTCTATTGACGAGAGCCTCCCCTTCGTTGTAGAGAGTGATGCTTCAGAAACTGCCCTGTCTGCTACACTAAATCAAGGAGGCAGACCTGTAGCGTTTATGTCCAAGACCCTCCAAGGGAGTGAGCTCCACTATCCTGCGGTAGAGAAAGAAGCAATGGCCATAATTGAAGCTGTCAGGAAGTGGCAACATTTTCTTGCAGGCAGACATTTTACACTCAAAACCGATCAGCAGTCAGTCACCTTCATGTTTGACAACCGAAGACGCACCAAAGTAAAGAACAATAAAATCCAGAACTGGAGGCTAGAACTAGCCTCTTTTAGCTACACCATAAAATACCGGCCCGGTAAGGACAACGCTGCTCCCGACTCATTTACCCGGGCTTTCACAGCTTCCATACCTGCAGCTAGCCTTACTGAGATACACGCCGCTCTATGCCACCCAGGTGTCACCCGATTGTTACATTTCATAAGGTCGAAAAACCTCCCTTACTCTACAGAAGAAGTTAAGAGGGTGTGTTCTAGTTGTAGGGTCTGTGCTGAGCTCAAGCCCCAATTTTACAAACCACAGCAAGGAGTCCTCATCAAGGCTACCCGACCTATGGAGCGACTCAGCGTGGACTTTAAAGGTCCACTACCTACGACTACTAATAATCCCTATATGCTAACAGTCGTGGATGAGTATTCACGCTTCCCTTTTGCTTTCGCCTGCCCAAGCATGAGTTCTTCAACCGTTATCAGATGCTTGGATCAGTTATTCACTCTGTGTGGGACGCCAGGTTTCATCCATTCAGACCGAGGTGCCTCATTCATGTCCCAGGAACTTAAAGAATACCTCTCTCAGAGAGGCATCGCCACGAGCCGAACTACACCCTACCACCCGATAGGCAATGGCCAAGTAGAACGCTATAACGGTATAGTGTGGAAAGTTATTCGCTTATCTCTCAAGTTAGCAAGCCTGCCGGACAGTAAATGGGAAATGGTACTCCCTGACGCGCTTCATTCAGCAAGGTCTCTCCTTTCCACTGCCACCAACTCAACTCCACATGAGAGATTTTTTGGCTTCCAACGCCGTTCGACACATGGTACTTCACTTCCCACCTGTTTACAGTCCCCCGGACCGGTTCTGCTCCGCCGGTATGTGAGAACAAGCAAGAATGACCCACTTGTTGACCAGGTAGAGTTGAAGGAAGCTAACCCTACTTATGCCCATATTAAATATTTGGACGGCAGAGAATCAACGGTATCACTGAGAGATCTGGCACCATGGCCCCCAGTCCACAATCACACCATCCCTGCCACCGTGCCGCCTATTGCAGAGGGAAAGGTCCAGGCACATGTTCCGGCTGAGCATCAAGCAGTTGAGAAGGAGATTATTTCAACTGAATTGGGACAGCAACATGCCCCTCTGAGGCGCTCAGTGCGTGCCGTAAAACCACCAACCCGTTATGGTTTTGAAGACGAATAGACTCTAAAGTATTGGTATTGGTCTCCCTGTGCCACTATCTGCGGTACTTCAGACCAGCGGTACTCATTCATATGTTTTATCCGCCAAATTATTGTTTTGTAGCATTTTAAGTTGTGTTTTAAAGTTAAATAAAGCCAGAGAATGGTAAATTACAACATTTATCTTGGGGAATTTTTAGAAGTTTTTAGTGAACATTTCTGTATTTTCTCTATAACGAATGTCCTCATTAAGATATGACAAAAATTCATAATTTTTGATGGCTCAAGTTGAATGTTGCATGTGGTCGTCAAAGTTGCTTCGTGCATGTTTGCGGGCATGAATTTTGTAAAGGTCAATCGCCCTGTTATGGCATTTTTCCTAAAAACAACTTTAGCAAAACACGGGAAAACTAAAAGCAGGATAGCCAACAGTCTGGACTACATCCCCTGTTCTATTTATCTTTACAATGAACTTCGTTATTTGTAGAAAGTCAATTTGTCAATTTATCAATATTTCTCATGCCTTGCCTTACAAAAGACAATTTTCGAAATTATTCGCGAGTTATCACTTATTTAATGATAAGCTTTTCGTCTTGAGAGAAGAATTTTTATCAGATTATAACTATTTTGATGGCTATTTAAACTACAAATTAAACATAAATACAGTAAACCAAGTCATTAATCTCATAATTTTGTCAACAACAACTTGCTCGTAATGCAACTCGTCTTTGCATGTTGTCAATCACATTTTTTCCAAATTTTTGATCGTTTGGCTCTACAAAAAAAAATGGCTCAGGAGTCGCGAAGCTATGTATGTTCGGAAACCTCAAATTTTTAGATTATGAGCATTTTTTATAAGATTTAATAAAAAATTGAATACCTGGTTTATACAGATGTGCCAACTTTTCAATGAGGGTGACATGATGCAGTTAAACAAAAAAAAATCGAATTAAATATCAAAAATTTATCACACTAGTTTAACTATTGTGAATTACCACATAGTTAACATGGAACACACACAACTTTTCGAAGCCCCTGCGGTTGTATGTATTGTTTTACATGCAAGTGTTTATTATATATTTCTGGACTTGTTTTCTTGTTGTACCGACAGAAAATCCCAGAAGAAAAGAGGTGTCTGCTCGAAATATCAACGTGTATCTAAGAAGAACCAAACCTAGTCAATGATATGAGCCTGAGAGTATTTTCCAAAATTGTTTTTGTGAATCGATTTAATGCCTTTTGTTCATGGTTTGTGCTCCAACTTTCTAGACTAAGTTATTGGTTGAAAGAACGATTGTTGGCAATGCATTCAGCGGCTTCCCATTCATTGTTATGCTTTTAAACATAAAAATATAATAACCATCGCCAGCAAGACTTCACTAAAGTGCATCCGTTATCAAAGAAAGGGTTGTCTAATAAGGATGTGGATATTATGTACATTGACATTGCTTTGAAAAAAGATTTTGGTGTAAATCATATTGTATGATGCAAATGACAAGCTTTCAAAATTCGAACAGCTAGCCCACTGCAGGGCGTTTGTAGCGAGTAGAATGAGACTTATTTATTAAACTCAGGATTTGAACAGAGTTATTTTCCAGAATGCAGTCTATGTTTAAGGTTTTAGCATGTTTGTAGATTCCGGGGACTCTGTAGCATGTGCATAAAAAACTGAAGGAAGTCACGGTCCATGCCTATCTCGAAATACGTTTTTCTAAACAAAATTAAAATCGACTAAAACAGAACATCTCTCCTTGTACCTAGTGCATGGTATTTCATCTGTCGTTATATTTTATAACTGTTTGGGACTCTTACAATTCATTGACTTGTTATAAATTAGGATCATGGGATTGAGACGAAAATCTTCACGACCATAATTAAAGATAAGTTAGGTAAGCGAGCTGGTAAACGCCGTTGAGTCTTCAGTGGTCTGGGGACAAGTAAGATGATTACATGAATCTTAATTTTTTTAAATGGAAACATCGCTTTTAAATGTTGTTTAAATGTTAGCAATAATATAAGTAAATATTTACGAAATGAACTTACATGAAAGTAGTTTTATAACCATTAAGCTAGTTAAGTAAAGGAGAAATACATTTTTATAGGTTTTATTATGTGTGGATTTTACAATGATTCACAGTTTGCTTATCATCAACCATTCAGGGTGAGTCGGTAGTGACAGTATGTATTGGTTTTATATTTGTTTGCTTTCAAAGCTCTTCTGTTGGTTTTGTACGTATCAGCTTGTGATTATTGTGAGAAGTACTTTACAATTATTTGAATGAGAAAAAATGAGATTATTTCAGTAAGATATTAAAGGAAAGCTTAAACAATGTCAGAAGCCAGTGAAGGTAGATTATGAGAAGTATCATGTGACAGGATTAATACCCAGAAAAATAAAGAATGTCATAAAATCGTGAGATATTACCTGATATCTGTAATTTCAATAGTGTTGAAGTCAGTTAGATGATGCCATTTTGATGATTTCAGCTTCCTCAATTGTTTAGTTATCACAACTTTACACCAAATGGGTTACTGTGAGTCACTAGGTCATATGATGTTTTTCATGTACATTTAGGGATATATTTCTGGAAAAACATTGGAGAAGTGTTTTGGGACGCTCTGTTTGTGATTATTTCTTCGAAGCTCAAGGAAAGGTAAATGAATATATATGTAAATTGTTGTTTGTGCTTGTTTGGTTGAGAAGTTTTAAGGTACTTTCATCAACGGTTTTCATGTTATATTTGTCTGACAAAAATGCTCCTAAACAAATTAAATATCATCTTTTATGTTCAGGCTACTTCTCCAGAAGACATTCCTCCTGTAATTGCAACAGGATTCAGTTATCTTATCAGTATATTTCGCCATGATCTCTTCTTTGTTTCTGTTGTTGAAAATGAAGGTTTGTGTTTATATTAAGGTTACTTAATGTTTTAATAATGTTTATTTTTAATCAATTGCCTCTAATGCAATCAAGACATTGATTGCTAGTTTTACATTAAAAAGTATGCATTACATTGCAAAGAAGTGTTATCACTCAATAAAAGGCATTGCATTAGGCATTCTTTGTGGTAGATAAAAATAATTTAGCCTTCATATCATCAACATGTGGTGAACACTTTCATGATTATTATTATTGATGAATTGAAAACATTCCTTTCCAGTTCCACCTTTGTTTGTGATTGAATTTCTTCATCGAGTGGTTGACTTGATCAAAGAATATTTCTCTGACTGTACTGAAACAATCATTAAAGAAAATTGTGTCATTGTATATGAGGTTTGAGATTAGTATATTTTGTAGAGAATCCAGCTGTTTGATAGATGAATTTCAATTTTTTCTGTTGTGTGTGATGTAAAATATGATATTATATCTTTATATTCTTCAGTTATTGGAAGAGATGTTGGATAATGGATTCCCTCTTGCTACAGAGTCAAATGTCCTTAAAGAGTTGATAAGACCTCCTAGTATAGTTAGAAATGTTGTTAATAAAGTGACTGGAGATAGCAAGTAAGAACCTTCCTTATAGTAAACATATGAGCCATGTTTTTATGTAGTGATCTTTATGTTGTTCATATAAGGATCAGATATAAATATAAAGCAAATCCGTAAAACCACTAAACATTTCTATATTTGTGTTGTTTTTTATATGCAACTTACTACAATATTTCGTTAAATTTGTTTTAGTTTACACATTTATGATCATTCTACATATAATTTAAGTTAAATATTTCATATTTTCCTAGTATGAGCAGTCATCTCCCAACTGGTCAATTGTCCAATGTTCCATGGAGGAGAACTGGTGTAAAATATGCAAATAACGAGGTACGTAGCTATATTCACATTGTTCCATTAAGAAATTTGAAAGAAAATCCTTTTTTATGCTTTGTTTTAGTTGTAATGTGATGAGTGAAGTTTTTCTTTTGTTAATTAGTTGTAATAAATATTGCTAATTAGTTGTTAGTTCTAATTACTCATAATTTGTTCCAATTAATTCTAATTATCACAAATTAGTCCTAAGTATTTCTAATTAATTCTATTTATGTTATAGATTTATTTTGATGTAGCCGAAAGCATTGATGCCATCATTGATAAACAGGTAACAACATTATAATACTGTGGATTTCTTGTTCCCTTTGTGGAAGATGTATGACAAAAATATGTTTGTTGTTTTTGTTTGATGTTAAATTAAAACTAAGGACATGTACGAACTGAAAACTTATGGCATGTTTAAATTCCTAAAATTTTCTGTTTTGTGTAGGGCTCCACCATATTTTCAGAAATACAAGGAACTATAAGTGCCTTCCTTTTTTTATACTTTGTTATACAGGTGTATGTACTCTCTAGCACAACATTTTAAAGATTTTTTCATCTTTTTTCAACTTTGTTCTTTCAGATTGACTGCAACTGTAAATTATCTGGCATGCCTGGTATATTTATGATACTTTGTTATATCTCTAGATTAAAATTGATTTTATCTGTAGGTTAAAGATTTCTATTAATTATAGATCTCAACATGTGTTTTACAAATCCTCGTATCCTTGAAGATGTCAGTTTTCATCCTTGTCTTCGCTTCAGAAGATGGGAGGTACGTAAGTGGGAATGTTGAATATGGATTGTCTCTGGTCGAAGTCAACACAAATTATTCTTAATATGACTAATAACAATTGGCTTTTTACATTAAACACTTTTCTTTCAATCTTGCACTAAAACCGCGTTCAAATGTCTGTGTATTTTAGTCTGAACGAATTTTGTCATTCGTCCCCCTGGATGGTCGTTTTCGTTTAATATCATATAACGTGGCAACCGGGTGGGTGTTTTAGCTGTTATATTTTCATGATGAAATTGTCTATTTTGATGGTGTTTTTTTTTGTTTAGAGTAAATATGCTACCATTGTTTGCGAAGCCTCGTGTCTTGTTTCAAGAGGTTTATCAACTGCTGAAATTATTTTAAAATATTTTTTATTGATTGAAATAAATTAAGGTGTTTGATTTTTCTACATTCGTCTTTTTCTTGGTTGTTTCAGGGCGGAAGTGGAAAATTTGAATTGTCGATAAGTTCAAAACCAGTTATGGGTAAAAATGTATGTATTTATAATCATGTCAATTTATTAAACTGCTGTTGCATCTTCTTACATTTATAAACTTAAAGATATAACCTAAACTAGTCCATTTTTTTCATACGTATAATCTCAAAGCATTTTGTGTAAAACTAACCAATAATCTTACCACGTAATCATACCAAGTCAAATGTTATATACATTAACTTTTTCAAAGTCTTTTCACTCATTGTTTCACTCATTTTATTTAGATCGAGAATGTTGTCGTGACTGTTCCATTTCCTAAACAAGTTCTCAACCTTAACTTGACTACAAACGGTAAAAACGCTCATAAAATATTAAACATAGTCTGATGTTTCATTGCTCTTCATTGACGTTTCCCATCAACATTTATGTCTTGTGTTCCATGTTTTCAGTTGGTACCTATTCATTTGATCCAATCAAAAAAGAGCTTTCATGGGAGGTAGGTTCATGAGGAAATTGTCACGATCACGTGGTTATGTAAATCTAACGTTACGTTAAACAATTTTAGATCGGTAAAATACAATCTCAGACACCGTCACCTAACATCAAAGGAAATGTAAGTAAAACTTGTTTTTCTTTGAATTTTTGCCCGTCTCAGTTGATTTACAGACGTCTTGCCATGTTTTTCAAGAAAATATTTTCATTTTTTTTGTATGCAGAGCAAGATCTCCCTTCACAACATTTTTTGCTCACAAAGTAAAGTAAGGTCGATTCTTCCGGTAACCATTCCTTGGTCACAAAGTAAGGTCGATCTTCCCAGTAACCATTCCTTGGTCACAAAGTAAGGTCGATCTTGCCAGTAACCATTCCTTGGTCACAAAGTCGATCTTCCCAGTAACCATTCCTTGGTCACAAAGTAAGGTCGATCTTGCCAGTAACCATTCCTTGGTCACAAAGTAAGGTCGATCTTCACAGGTCGCTATCACTGTAGTTATATTCTGAAATTGTATTCTTTTTTTCTGATAATTGGTACTATCCCCTTTCCACTTTGGTATTCACCTTTAAAGATCTGATTTCCTACCATAATTAAACAACGTGGTGATGTGAGAATCGCTCTGATCTTTTTATGAAACTGCTCTCGTTTCATTTCGTCTTATGTTACTTGTCGTCAAATTCTTGCTGTATGTTGGTTTTCTGTAGTTTATTGCTTCTTATCATAGTCTTTGTTTATTTTTCTTGTTTTTTTTTTGAAAAGAATTAATGCATGTCTCCATAATCTTTTAATTTCTTTCTTTTTGTCTAATTTCCAATGTTTATATTTCAGATATCTTTAAAAAGCGATGTTCCACCTTCGTAAGAAACACCAACTGAATTCGTAAGTGGTTTTTTACTGAGTAATGCATATAAAACCAGTTATAATTGGATGATATACAAAATCATTCCGAAACCAAACGTTCTCTGTGATATAAAGTTAACATAACTTCCCTCAGACATGATTTATTTATCAATACTCCTTAATCATAAACATGCAACATCCTGCAACAGTACCATCGTAAATTTGTAGAAACTCGTCTCCCTTTCGCCTTCTTTCATCGGTAGCATTCTTTTCTTAAGATAAATTTCAAAATATATTCATTTGCCGCTTTGGGATTGAAAATCGGTTGACTGGATGTACATGGAGAGGTAGGGACAGTTTACATGGTTTGATGTGATGTGTATGTAGGGGTACACTTTGCATGGTTTGTTGTGTATGTAGGGGTACACTTTGCATGGTTTGTTGTGTATGTAGGGGTGCACTTTGCATGGTTTGATGTGTATGTAGGGGTACACTTTGCATGGTTTGATGTGTATGTAGGGTACACTTTGCATGGTTTGATGTGTATGTAGGTTACTTGCATGGTTTGATGTGTATGTAGGGGTGCACTTTGCATGGTTTGTTGTGTATGTAGGGTAAACTTTGCATGGTTTGTTGTGTATACTTTGCATGGTTTAATGTGTATGTAGGGGCATGGTTTGTTGTGTATGTATGGATACACTTTGCATGGTTTGATGTGTATGTAGGGTACACTTTGCATGGTTTGATGTGTATGTAGGGTACACTTTGCATGGTTTGATGTGTATGTAGGGGTACACTTTGCATGGTTTGATGTGTATGTAGGGTACACTTTGCATGGTTTGATGTGTACGTAGGGGTACACTTTGCATGGTTTGATGTGTATGTAGGGGTACACTTTGCATGGTTTATTGTACAAATTGGTGTTCATTTTAATCTTGAACAGATGACTTGAGTCCAACTAATGTTATATGGTTTCTGATGTAATTTAGAACTGCAAGCTATTAAAGGAGTCAAGACACCACAGCTTTCAAGACGGTATCAGATAAGAACATAAAATTTTGTTGAATAAAAGCGCAACACAACATTTACGCATGGCTAACAATTCGCGATTCTCCGTCCTAATCCTTCGACAGAACAAATTTTGATTAGCTTTCGAAAAGATAGTTCAAATTGTTGTGTTTTTTCAACATGTATGCATGCTTCACAAAAAAAATGTATCGTCTACTGGGACTGCAGTGGCAACTGAAGTTTACCATGGAATAAAAAAGCAAAGTTGTAAATGCAATCTTCAACGAAGCTGAACGATAAAAATGCGTCAATGCAGCAATACTGTACAGGCAAAAAAATTATGTTATATTGCAGCACGTTATATTCAGAGAAAAAATTCACTTGGAGCAACTGTGCAGTCACTGTGAGTGCAGTGTGCAATGTTAAAAAAGGGAACTGTTCTAAATGTAGAAGGGAGGAAAATTCTGACTTGTTAAAGTTATTAGTAGTTTTTAGTACCAAATGGGAATCAAGCTTTAGAGAGTTTGTTTCCACTAGTTGAAAATTTTGTACATTTTTCCAAAAAATTTAGCATGGTTTAGATTCTTTTTATTTTTCTAGTGTTACATGGCTGCTTTAAGCATATGGAGTTGCTGGTCCGAACAAGAAGTTTGCATTCCACTATTCAACGTGGCTTCAATTCTTTCCGTTTTTCTGGTGTTACTTGGGTACTTAGAGCGTATGCATTTCCCAAACGTATGTAAAGCTTTGATTCTCGTTTATGATACATAGCGTTCCCAAGTCGCAATTGGGTATTGTTTCTATGTTGTTAAGAGATTTTTCGATTAAAATTCTATTTGTTGTCTAATTATGTTCTTCCTGAAAACGAATTTCTGTCTGCAGAAACTGATCATTCAGTTTATCAACTTGCTGCTTCATCCACAAAAAATGCTAAACAATCATACGAGGCAGCTGCATGGCAGTTTTGAATATCATATTATTTTTACAATGTTTTATTGAATTGTTAATTTCAGGGAAATTGATTGGTAGTCTTGACGGTCGTTACGGATTTACCTGCAAACATTGGCTCATAGATCCTGCCAATAGAGGTTTCATCTCGTTTGAGAGGAAGAGAGTTTTAGAGAAAAGTCGTATTAAAAAGTAAGTTTTCCAGTTAAATCGCAACATTAATTGTAATTTTGAGCATTTTTAGAAAAATTCAAAATGCATCAGTGACACAATAAAATTGTAGTGAGCCTGTGGGAACATAAAATACTCGCGATTTGATATCATTTATATTCGTTTGTTAGTTTGATATGACAAAACAGAACATACGCGAGTGCCTACACTGTATTGACAAAGCACATGAAATACCAAAAAACTGTAAAGTTTTTGAAACGTGGAGAAAGCGTCATATTTTTTAGCAAGTTGCTATGCCACAATTGTGTAACTTTGATCAGTTGTGTTTTAATTGTTGCTATATATCGTATTTACAGTGGTTTTTAAGCAAATAACTGTAAAAGATCGTATGTCACTATTTATTTCCTATAAAATACAGATACTAATCAGCTTCTATGTTTAAAGTACTTAGCATGTATTTTTTCTTTTTCTAAATACCATTGTTAAAAAAAAACTGTTAGATATGTTTGAATTTGATCTATGAAATGTATAGTCTGAAGACATTTTTCATTTGTCTTACCGTTGGTTAGTCTATTTCGTTTGATTTGTTACAATACTGTTCAAAATTTATTTTTTATCAACTAAAAATGTCTAATAGAAAACGAAGTGCCTGTACATATCATCTGTAAATTTCATCACCTTGATGAATGGTGCAAAATTTAACATGACGTCTTTCATAATATTTTGCTGGTTGTACATACCATAAAAATCTTGATATCGTAAACACATAAGAATATAGAAGCTCTCTGCTTTGCTTGCAGCAATTATTTGTAAACGTTTTTTTATTGCAGCAAGAGTTGGAGTTTCTGGTTAATCTAATGTACCATTTGATAATTAAACTTTCATAAAATAAATAACAAATAGTAAAATTGATAGAAAAATTACAAAGTTAGTCAGAATTGCTGCAGTACATAACACACCTTCCTTGCTCTGCTAACAATAGTGAAATTATTGAAATAGCATAATATTTGAAAGCATTTATTCGTTCTAAAAATTAGGAACTGAGCCCTCTAGCTACATGCAGTTAAAGTAACTAAAAAGCACAGCGTCTTCAATATGTTGAAAGTATGTTATAACTTATAACGAACAAATGATTCTTACTGTTAAAATGTATGAGAAAATTTTCTTTTCTGTTTTGTGTTCCTGCGTTCTAAACAAAGTTTGAAAACATCTCATATAAGATATATTAAGCTTATTTGCATCGGGATTCTAGTTTTTTCTATTCCGAATATAATACTTGTAAATTTTCCAAATATTTATTCACACTACGCAGCGCACTGCGATAACACTCAAAAAAATCTTTTTATCAGTGTACTTCCTGCTGTGATTTTTTTAAATAGATGATATTGCAAAACAGGTATTCGACACAGAATCCAGAGCAAAGTAATTTATGATCCCATGTATATGATTAGTCAATTTTTAGACTTATTTATGTCTTATTCTATGGAAGTTTCATTGTAGTTAATGTTGGTGACTAAAGTTATCAATTATATTTTTATGATATTTAGAAGCAAATCATGACAACAACTTCCATAAACTTCTAGACAAAAGTAAGAATATTAAAGCTGACGTTCACAAGGCTCTCCAAAGGTAATTTTTCTTTCATGGGATATCGATTATGTATGTTGACCTGTGCATGTCGGAACATTACGAAAAATAGTTTTTAGACAATATATAGTTATCGTTTCTTGTTTAAGTTGCTCGTGGCTTAGTAGGAAGTATGGAATAGCTCGCCCAAACGAGAAGATGCCGTTTCCTCATTTGTATGTCACAGTTGATTTTGAGAAAGAAATTCGGAGGCTGCTATCAAAAATGAGATCGATGAAAAGTTAAAATGGAAAGCATCGAAATACATCGAATTACGATCTAAACCATTGAAAGAAGCAAAGTTTCGAATGCTGTCTAAAATTATAGCGCAAAGAACCGAGGGTAGTTTTGGAACATTGACAATGTTCTGCCTTAAGAATGATATGTACTATGCCTTGACCTGTGTTCATGCGGGTGTTGTCAATAATTTGGATGACCGTCAACAAGACTTTTGTGGCGGAGTCCAATTGATGGAAATCCAAGAATCTCTAAATGCCACAGTTAAGGAAGAAAGCATGAAATACTTTTACAACAGACAACCGATTGTCCGTGTTCCGGACCAAAGAGAGTGTTGTCTAATAAAGAAGTCGATATTATGTACATCGTCATTGGTAGGGAGGAAGATTTTCAGGAGCTTGCTGTAAATAATCAGATGACTCTCAATTTAGATTTGGATATGCAGTGCCATACAGGCCCTCACCACCTGCATTGCATGTGAAACATCCAACTCCAATGTTCTCAAAAGACATCTGAATCGACTACACATCAATACAAATGCATTTTCGAAAATTCTTTGTGCTCATGAAAGTCTATAGTTAAAAACTTTCTCATCACCTATTGCAGTCTGGTGTGGATATGGCTTCATTAGATTTTCATTCAAAGCAAATGCCTCATCTCCAAGCAGAAAGTAAGGTATAGGCAATAATGTATCTCTTAGTTCTTCATCTTGTGGGAAATAGCATGTCTTGCATATGTTTTTAAGGTGACTGTCTTTAAAAATTCTTCCATCTGACTGGTTGCCAGGGGCTTCAAGATCAAATGAGATGAATTTAGCATTTGCATCTGCAATAGCCAAGAGGACTATGCTAAAATGTTTTTTATAGTTAAAGTACTTAGACGCTGAGTTTGGAGGTGCACACAATTTGATATGTTTACCATCAATGTTGCCAACTGCATGGGAAAGTGCCATTTGCATATAAATTCATCAGCAATGTGTAACCATTGTTGCTTTGTATTGGGTGGCTTTAAGTATTCTTCCTTCAGCACATTATACAAAGCTTCACAGACCTCAGGTACAATTTTTGAAATAGATGAAACTGATATTCTGAAACTGTACATCAAATCTTTGTATGAGCATCCTGATGCTAAGAACTTTAATGTTACACAAAAGCGATCATGAACAGATATAGCATCTCTCATAGTGGTGTTTTTCTTTGCTATGAATGGTGTTAGCTTTTCACATAGCTCATCAAACAAAATGGAATCCATCCTTAAAAGTAGTAAAGATTATAATTTGTAAATAAAAGTAAAGAAAATAAGAAAATTTCATTATTAAAAAAAGAACGTAAAATATGAATTGATTGTACAATCCACTGACTAGCTTAATTTTGAAGAGTGCATGAATAAAAAGACTATCACATTTCTTAACTTACCGAAACAAATTTCTAAATACATCATGGTCAGTCACTCGGATCTCTTGAATTAAATTTTGTACTAACCCTTGTGCGTATCGGCGCTGCACAGTTTTTCACGATTTTACCCACCATCGTCGTGACTTTCGTTTTTTTTTCACTTCGTGCACCATTAGAGATGTAATAATAGCTACAGCTTGAAGTTTTCCGGCCTTGATCAGCGCCATTTTTACACAAACATTGCATTAAAAGTACGTTGTAAAATGAAGTATGGACATGTAACTGTTCATTATTACAATGGGCGCAATACATCAATCGCCATGCGAACAGATATATTTACATATATTTTGTGTCGTTTACACGGTCAAATGTATTTGTCGCATAAAAATTGTCATATTAAAATTGCTCGTGTAAACGGGCCTATAAAGAGAGAAAACTGCGTGTCAGTGTTCAGTTTAAATACTAATGATTGAAATTTCTAAATAAACATGGCAATTTATTAAACGTTTCTATTTCAGGGAATTTCATTGGTAGACGACCGTCGTCATGGATTTACCTGCAAACGTTTATACATAAATCTCGACACTCGCTAAGTTACATCATTTGGCAGAAAGACGTTTTACCACAAAGAAAAATTTAAAAAGTAAGTTTTATCAATAAATATCTGACTTAAGAAGGATTATAGGATATACAAAATACTCTAGTGTAACTTTAGAGACATAGTAAAGATATGAAATGCTCATGGTTTAGAATAAGTCTTTCTTATTTCCTCCGCCACGTGTTTATTCGTTTTTTGATTTGATATGACAAAACAGACGATACATGAACAATTTTATTTATATGGCTTTGAATTTGGTCATTGGAAAAGTATTGCATTCCCATAATTTTCTTAAGACGAACATCGTCCTTCAAAAAGGGCATTTTCACAACTTTAAACCGCCATAAAAATGGAATAATTTGATCAAATGAAAAACTTTTTTACTGAGTTCTATAAGACCTGGAGGGGAAGCGTCAACAAAATTACTATAAATTATCAGCGCACGGCCGCCAATGACTTATACCCAATGGGTACTAGATCATTGACGGCCGCTTGGTCAAAAACATGGCGGATTTTGGTGGTCAAAGTCAGCGGAAAGACGTGGGCTCATAAAATAAGATTTTTTTCGCCTACCCGGATTTGACAACCACAATTGCGATTATATAAAATATCAATGCCAAGCACAAAAACTTTTATCAATAAGAAAAGTGTTATGTCAGAGAAACCAATGCACTTTAATTTAAGAAATCGTATTTTCAATGGGAAAGTAATGTAGTTCTGTTCAGTAGTAGATCCATGGTTTTCAATGACAATCCAGTTTCTAATATCTTCGCTCAAAACATAACCAGCAACATGATTATAGAATTTCTGAATTTCGTTCTTTTGCTCTCTTAGTTCAAGATATTTTCTTCATAAGTTCTTAGTAGATTTATCAGAATATCATACTTTATAATACACCCAGAATCAATCTTACCAAAAAAAACTCAAAAAAATTACATACCGACTTATAATATATTTCCAGTCGACTTAAGTCGTAAGGGTAAGCTAACTTTTTCTAACTCCTTTTTGGACATTTTAACTAAGATTTACCCATCTATTCAAGAAAGACAGTTACACCATGCTATTCACAAACAGTCCAAAACACAAGTATTGCGCATGGGATTATGCGTTAAAGCTTAAGTAGCTTTTAAGTAGCGTAAAAGTAAAAAGTACTAATTATATTAAATACAATACTCATCATGTGTGGTGTTTCAAACATGATGAGTATTATATGGGGCCATTTGTGCTAAAGACGAGAGGCATAAATAACCAATTAAAGAAAACTACATGTGTTTAATTAAGTCCACTTCTAAAAGTGTTTTTTTTTCATTTAAATTTTTTTTCACTTTTTTGGTTACATATGGTTATGAATGAATTGGTTACATACAAACATATTTAGAGAAAATGAGACAACATTGGGCAGGTGGCCTAAGATTTATACGAAACGTTCACTTGAACTGGCATGATAAACCTGGTCCACGCCTATCACCAAATGTGAAGCAAGGCAACTATAAAGAATATTTCCTGCAAGTTTTCCCAGAGTTTCCTCTTCTGGTGCACAAAGTCATAAGGTTAACTGACTGGAAAACAAGACCTGATCTCAAAAAACATTTTACGAGTAAGTAAAGCATTTGAAATTATTTTTAGTGTATACAAATTAAGTAGCTATATATAGAGTTCAATTTACAATTTACAATGTCGAAACTTTGATTGTAATTTTCACTCTACTTGTTTTCCTAAATTATAAAATATATTTGTATTTGATATTGCTTGATTTTATGTAATTACTCTAGCAAATATTTCAAGATACCATACATTATGTGGAAAACAAAGTAATTGATGGAAATAAACGTAAATCAAATACCTGCATAATTATTTATTCTTATACTCTGCTGCTGAGTTTCCACAAAGTACCTATGTTATATAGCTCCATGATCATATTTACAGTTGTAAGGTTTTACTTTGCATTGTCATTAGAAAACATCGATTGCTTAGCTAAATATTTATTTCACGATCTATGCGCAAATATATGATGATTTTCTGTCATATTTTTATCAAAAGGTGTTAAAAGTTCGAATGATACAACTATCCTATAATTCAAATTCGAAATGGCTCTGTATATTCCTGTTTAAAAAAACCTGGCATGGTCTTTACTGAGGTGAAAGAGTTTATGTGTTTTACGCTATCTTTTATTTGTTTTAGAGTCAAGTTCATTTTCGTATACCTGTCTTGAAGAACCAAGAAGCAGTGCATCAACATTCAAAGGTATATCTAATGTGCTGGGATTTTTTATTAGTGAGAAAATCATAAATTGAAATAATTATAATAAATTATGTTTAAACAGTGCTGAGGATTGTAGCTAAGAATTCTCGAAATATTTTCATGAGTGAATAATGATAACTTTAACCTTTTAGTTGAAGAAAAGAGAAAAATTAATCTTCTGAGTGCCAAGTCAACTTCAAAAATTGGTAAATTTGATATTTTTTGTTTGGGAGATTCAAAGTCCAGTGACATTGTTTTGTGTTAAATTTTCTAGATGAACCTTCCAGTGGCAGCAAAGAAAAAATTCTGAATTCAATTACTTCTCGTAGTTTCAAGTCATCTTCAAAAACTGGTAAATTTGATATTTGTGTTTTAGAAGATTCAAAGTCCAGTGACATTCATTTTGTGTAGTATTTTGTAGATGAACCTTCCACTCCCAACACAGTCGAATTTAAAGAACGTTTTCTCAAAAAGGATCACAAAATTAAAGAGAGCGTCCATGAAAATTTGAAAAGGTAAATGTTTTTTATCGCTTTTACGTCAATTTTGACTTATTTGAGACGACGATAAGGCATCGAATATCTTCACTTTTCCACATTTGCAGTTTTCCTTGGCTTTGTGGCAAGTATGGTACAGCACGTCCTACTGATGAGATGAATTATCGTCATATGTATCTTGAAGTTGACGAATCAAAGACTGAGAATGTTTTAAAGCAAGAAATCGATGACAAATTTGAATAGAAAGCTTCAGATTACATCGAATTACGTTATGTTGACCCACGTAAGAAAATAGAAATGCAACAGCTATCCAACAATGTTATGGTAAGTCGAGATGATGAGCCCAATAGATCAATTTATGGCGCGTTGACTTTGTTCTGCTGTAAGATGAACAGCATTACGTGTTGACTTGCGCTCATGTTGGTTACTTAAAAAGTATTCTCAAAGGGCGAAAGCGTGATTTATACCTGAAACTTTTCGTGATTTATACTGAAACCTTTTAAATATTCAACTTAGTTTGGAGTAAGTAAATCAGTTCTTATAAAGTACTACTTCAAGGTAACTGAATTATCCAGTTGCACAAAATGTAGGAAAAAATATAAATTTCGGTAAAAACGCCTTCCATCATGTCTTCCTATGATAAGTTTATTTGTGCTTGGTTTTATTGGCTTTCATAAAACCCGAGTTTGTGTGGCATTGTTTGAATTTTCAATGAGTTTTGCATTCAAAATCATATTGCAAGTTGGGAATGAAATCGTGAAAAGAAAATAGCTTTTGGTATGTAAGAGGAAACGAAAGCTTCACTCACCTGGCGAGATATATTTTTCTTGAGCAACATAAACAACTGTAGCAACACATTGTTGACATATACCATGCTCAAATCGAGCAGGATTTTCACACATCCAAACAGGTAGAACCAGTCTCTTGTAATGCTAGAGAAGCATAATCATTGATATAGATTTATACATTATATTTGCTTATTTGATTGTTCAAATTGTACAGTATATGGTTGAATTTTCAACTTTTGTATTGGATATATTGCCTGCAAGTATATAAATGCTGATTCCCTGTTATTATTGCAAAAAATTTTTGTTAGGCTGATAGAAAGAGGATGGAGGACTAGCAAATTAAGTGTCAAGGGAAAATTTAAAAGTGGTTGGTTTACCTTTGGAGAAGCAATACATATATCCAAAAGCGGTAGATATTCTGACGATAGTTCATAAACGCAACCTTCTACGGAACATTCAGGATCTTGGACTACGTTTGGAAAACCCATGTCACTACCAAATGCACCTAAGACTTAATGGCAATAAATTGATTTGAAAACTCTCTTAAAGACACTGCTTCTGTTATTTCTGACTTCGTTTATTAAAAACAAGTCTATAGCCAAATAGCAATCCCCAAAGACGTGATCTTATTTTGCACCGTAGTTGTATAGACAACCTAAATGCAAGCCCCAAATTCGTGAAAGCAAAAGATATTTTCTATTAAGTACAGATGACAGTAGCTACAAATCAATATACCTGTTTTGATTTATATTCAAACAATATGCAAAGTACAAAAAATGACCCAATTTCGGGCTCGTGTTGACTTCAAACTTCCATCGAGAGAAATCGGAGACTTTTTCATTTCTAAATAAAAAACAAGGTTTGTGAATATTCTATGAAATTTACTGATTATTTGTTTTTCAATTTAAAGTTTTACCTTGATAGCTTATTCATGGGTTTCCTTACTGCAATAATTTCAAGCTGATTGGTCTCACCGTTTTTAAAATTTCCTTTGTTTTGTTCTAACTACAAGAAGTGAAGCAGATGGTCATTTCACTCTCCAATCTAAGTATCAACTTTTTTGTTGAGCTGATATAAACTCATAAACTAAAAAATATCAATGTCACATTTTAGCTATATGTACCTCTTTTTTGTCATCTAGTTTGGGGACAAAACATTGAAGTTTTTTATCATTTGGCAAAAAGCAACCCATTGATTTATTCACAGGAATTTCAATGCTCTCCTTGTTGTAATTTGCAGACTTATTTCGAAGAACAGGATTTGTCTTTTGATGATTTATAAAACTGTTTCGTTTCGAGGGTGCAGATTTTTGTCTTGAATCTGTCAACTCAACTTTGTATTTTGAGATTTCTTTTCTAGAAACGTCATAGCCACCGTCTACCAAAGCTTTCCAAATATCTCTCACGTGGACACTGTCCTCGTCTGATTTACGTTTGGTATTTTTTTTCCTTGAATAAATGGTGTTTCTTGAATTTGACGGTTGCATTGTGCACTTTTTTGTAACATTTCTGAGTAGTTGGTATTTTGTCGATCTAAGTTTGAATAACTATCATGTTCAATATGTTTTTCTTGGAACTTGGAGAAGTAAGAGTCATCTTTGTTTTCTTCTGTTGAATTAATACGAGACATGTTTGTTACTCTGCATTTAGTTTTCTTTTGTGAAGCACGAATCTCCTGCAAATTAAAGACATTTTCTGTCAAAAAGTAGCACGTTCTTGAAGAAACTGATAACTTTTTAATGATTAGTTCTTCATAAACATCATCGTCGATTTTTACGCTATCACTGGAAGATAATTCCACATTACAATGAGTTGATTTTAGATGATTGTCCTTATCATCATGTGAGCTACTAACATTATGAATATCTGCATCATAGATTCTATCTAAAGGATCTGTGTTACATGATTTCTTGCTATCTAAATCACTTTCACCTTTAGAAAGTTGACCAGTCCAAACATCAATACCAGCTGCCTGTTTGGAAGCATTAGAATCACGAATATCAATAACATTGTCATTTGCTTCTTCATTTACAGAAATGATTCGTTGATTTTGTGCAAAGTCATTTCTATCATGCCCTTTTACACCATCACCATGATCTAGTTGAATTGTCTCACATTGTTCTGCCAGCGACTGCCTACGAAGATCAACGGTCAAGATGTTTTGAGAGATTCGTTGGCTGGCTGAAGAAAACCTTGTTACATCCGGACTTTGGACGTTTTCATAAACTTGCAAACCATCGAAAGAGTTCTTGAAGCAATCTAGAAGTGAATAGCACAAAAAATCCAAGCTAAACGAAATGATAAAACTTTGCGACATTTCATTTGTAGAAATATCTGCTCATCTCAATATAGAGATGCTAATAAAAAATTGCTTAGCTCTCCAAAAAGGTCCTCGATAAGATTTTTCAAGAAAAGCGTAATCCTCAATTTGGGAATTTACATTTTGGATGCCTAGACATTTGGCAACGCTAGGCTTAGAAAGAAATCTTGCCGGAAAAAGAGAGTCTTCAGCGGTCCATTTTTTCTCAAACTATTTTGTCTAGATACGGGACGATCTTGTGGTGGTTTATCCAGGAGAAGACTACGAACATATTCTATTGCTAGTCTTGTTTTCAACTTGCAATGGCTGTTGGGGTTGGTCTTCTAAAGAAAACAAAACAGAAATGTTATTTTGTAATTAGCAATCGGGTTTGTCGTTTGTTTTTAACTTTTCTTTGTACACTACACTTAAATGTGTAATCAATCATCAATAACCAATGATTAATCATCGTTTTCTCAGACAAACCTTGATCGACCTGTAATTTTTAATACTGAAGAGTAACGTAGTGTAAATGAAATACATGCTCAAATTTTTAGTCATATGTTTGATTGGTCGTATATTGCTTCGTGAGTGCTTTAGTTTAACATTAAATGGAAGATCACGTGAACCAGTTTTTGTCACCAATTGTGTTTTTGATGGCTCAGCTATGACCCTCTCTTTTCTTGCGTCATTGCAAAGGTATTTACTGAGTTGCTGGAAAGAGGTAGAAAATTGTTTTTTGATATATGTTTTCTTAAAACTCCACAAGAACATAGTCAAATCTATTTTATAACAGAACAAAGTAAATACTTTACAGTGCCAGACTGCGAGTTTCAGTTTGGTGGAAAAGCAGCTGATAAAATTAAGTGACATACACTTTGTTGTTAATGATAAGTTAAAAAAGATTTCATACAGCAATAGAATCAAGTTGCCAGCAATACCTGATAATGAAATGGACTTCGCAAATAACGTTTGTATTCATCGTTCATTTCATACTTTGATACTTCCATAATCATTTGTTACAATAAGTTGGTATAAAAATGAGTGCATCAAAATTCTTTATTCTTTACGGAAATTCACTCTCCATTTTTCTTTCCTTTTCATAAACACAAACATGCTAGTAATAAAATAACACAGAGGTTTTTAGTTTCGTTGGTACAGTCAACTAAGTTGATATTTTGGTTTCCAGAGAAACGAAAGAGCTTCTCGATCCGTTCGTAGCGAGTAGAATGAGAAGTATTTATTAAACTCAGGATTTGAACAAAGCTATTTTCCAGAATGCAGTCTATATTTAAGGTCTTAGCATGTTTGTAGATTCCGGAGACTCTGTAGCATATTCATAAAAAACTAAAGGTCATTCCATTCCTATCTCAAAATACGTTTTTCTAAACAAAATTAAAATCGACTAAAACAGAACATCTCTCCTTGTACCCAGTGCATGGTGTTTCATCTGTCGTTATATTTTATAACTGTTTGGGACTCTTCCAATTTATTGACTTGTTATCAATTAGGATCATGGGATTGAGACGAAAATCTTCACGACCATAATTAAAGATAAGTTAGGTGAGCCAGCTGGTAAAGGCCGTTGAGTCTTCAGTGGTCTGGGGACAAGTAAGATGATTACATGAATCTTAATTTTTTTTAAATGGAAACATCGCTTTTAAATGTTGGTTAAATGTTAGCAATAATATAATAAACTAGAAGTTGCTATCGCAAGGGGGGATTGCTGCCCCGACCCCTTATCTGGAAAAATTGCAGGGTTCAGAACGTAGTGACATCCATTGGAGCCACCTCCGTGTAAAGCATTCTAGGTGGTTTCATACATACGTTATGATTGGGTGATTAGAATGATAGAGAAAGAAATTTTACATGCTTGTCTCTAACTTTTAGCTTTGCGTTGGCAAGGTTTATTTCGCCATGTGTAGAGTTTTCTTTCTATCTGAAGGCCTGTTTACACGTTCCGATTTGTCAGATCCTATTGTTTTGGTTCCGTCTTTTGATTGCTTGTTCAGACGGTCAGATAGTTGTGTTGATATTTAGATACGTTTAGATATTTATAATCTTGAGAGCAGCCATTTGTGTTGTCCATTTATCGATATATTTGCGTACTTTTCTTCTTGTTTCCAAGTCTTTTTCAAACATATATAATTTGGCTAGTCATTATATTCCAGGCTATTTCTATCCTCTTTTTTAGATTGACGGATCCGACTGTCGGAGACTAACTTTATATGTGCTCACACGATCCGTTTTTAGGATCTGACAAAACCGGATCCGACAAATCGGATCGAGTGAACGGGCCTTTCAAACGTGCCATACCTTATTTGGTATACATGCAAACAAAGGCACGCGTTCTGAAAGTCGACGGTTGATTTCCGGCGAAAAATAACTCCCGTGCTTTACATCTTATTTCATTTCACGTTTCAAATAATTTTAAAGATAAATTCATTACCATTTCGAACGAAAACAATTTTTTGATTCTTTTAAATGTCTTGATGGTTTTGATTCTTTTGAGTCTTTAAATTGCTTTTTGATTAAAAGTACGATACTTTGTTTACTCAAACGATCGATCGAACGCATGTTTACAAACGTAGAGCGGACTATATTATAAAACTGTAGTTTCGTTTCCATCATTTCCTTTATAACATTTTGATAGAAGCTTTTTTCCGATGATTCTGTGCGACTGCGAAAAAATGATGATAAGTTATCACAAAGGGCAAACGTTTCATCGTATTCATAATTCATATTTCATGGTTGAACTCGCACCATGCGTTTAAATTATTTTTGACGTTTTGTTAAATCCACACCGATATTTCAAGTAATAATAAAAGCTCGAACAAAAATAAATACATGCTTACACTACATTTTTCTCACCGTACGATCATAGAGTGCAAGATAAAATATGTGAACCGAGCTGGCTAAATACGGCACGGTGAATCCATTTCATGTGTTTTTCGCCAAACGAAATATGTATAATTGATGTCGGTAATCACTCGATTTTGGTATCTACTGTATAACGTTGTTTAGGCCGCATATCTATTCGGATTCCAGACATTTAAAATCAAAGAGAAACTGACACGAGTTCCGAAAGGTTCTACCTTATTGTGATTGTTCTTCCCCCCTCATTCCGTAAAAATCCCCCCCGGAAATGTTAACAGACAGACACAAATCGAGATTCTATTTCGTCACTGTTCTACGTCACTAGGAAGTCACAAGTCAAGAGATCCATGTCAATGAAATCACTTCTGAGCTGACAGATGAACAAGATGACATGATGAAGAAAGCGAAGAAGTGCAAGTCACATCAAAGAATTTGAATGTGGCAACGGCCCTTTGTAGGATGAGTGAGGCAATGTCTGCAATGAGTGAATCACTCAGGTTAATGCAGCAAACGTCAGTATCCTCTACAGTAGAATCTACTCGTAAGAGGAAAGCAAGTGCTTTAGTCCCTGAATCAGGGCATGACGCAGATTGTGAAGTCTTGTTGGCATAAAACGTAGAACCTTCGACCAAGCGCAATTCTGAAGCAGAACAACTAGCCGTGGACCCGTTGCTGGAAGAGATTTCGCAGACTCTAGACGAAACTGAGAAAACTTCACCAATCGTCAACGAGAAGCTCGCCTCAATTATCAACCAGCGTTGGCTGAATAAGCTGAGCGACGAGCAATTGAAGAAAAAACAGGCCAAATATTTTAGGCCTAAGAACTGCGATCGCCTTATTGTACCTAAGGTAAACCCCGAAATTTGGGGGAAATTAGACCGCACAGCTAGAGGGCGTGATTTACAATTGAGTGCCATTCAATCCGCCCTGACGAATGTCGGTCATATAGCAGCACAAACCACCAATGATTTGTTGGTTGCCCGCAATAACAGCAGCGAACTGAATATTGATAATCTTGTTCGTATGAACGCTGATATCATAGCGATTCTGGGACATGTAAGTTTTGAATTGTCTCAACGACGACGGGACGCTATACGTCCCAATCTCCATCGAGAATTTAGTACTTTATGCGCATCGCATGTTCCCATTACGAAATATTTGTTTGGAGATGAATTGCAAACCCAAATTAATCATATTCGCACATCCAACAAAATTGGCAACGCGACAACAAGCTCGTCTAACACCATTTGGCAGCAACATTCCAAACAAGGGAAACGACAATGGCGCCATTTTTTATCCCGTCATCAGGGCAACACTCCCTATCGGTCGAAAAGGAACCAATTCGGGAAGAAACGATCGGACACAATGAACGATCGCAAGTAGAAAACGCTGAATTTTTAAGAAATTTTAAGACTTTACAGGTAAACCAGTATTCTTCTTTTGTACCCACGCTAATAGCGTATTTGAATAAAAGCTTGGAGACCAATCAGGCTGGCAGCATATCAAATTAGTTAAGTGCATGGGAAACACTCATCTCTGATAAGGAAATCTTAGAGACAGTGTCCGGACAAACAATTGAATTTGACACAATTCCGATTCAAAGAGCTTTACCCAAGCAACTACAGCTTCCCGAGGTTGAAATGAACAATATTGATTTAGAAATAAACAAATTACGCAAAAAAGGCGTTTTGCAGATTTCTCACCCTGAATCAGGGGAATTTATATCTCCAATTTTCACTTGCCCCAAAAAAGACGGTTCTTTTCGCATGATTCTTAATCTGAAATCCTTAAACAGGCATGTCAGATATCACCATTTTAAAATGGAGTGTGTTTGGTCAGCTATTAGGCTTATGAAACCAAATTGTTTTATGGCATCCATCGATCTCAAAGATGCTTACTATTCCGTACCTATTCACCCAGCATATCAAAAATTTCTCAAATTTTGGTGGAGAGGGCAACTATATAAATTTGTCTGTTTTCCAAACGGCCTAGCCATCTGCCCTCGAAAATTTACGAAACTCCTCAAACCTGTTTTTTCAAATTTACGTCAAAAAGGACATATTTCGGTTGGATTTATTGATGATACTTGGCTGACATCCGACACATATGTTTCCTGTGTTCGGAATATTCGAGATACCATCTGTTTATTTAGTGAAGTGGGTTTTACGTACATCCGGATAAGTCAGTTTTAGTTCCCTCACAAGTAATTACTTTTTTGGGTTTCCGACTTAACTCAGTTCTTATGCAAATATCTGTAACGACGGAACGAGCTGAGAAGATAAAACGCATGTGTTATGAGCTGCTACAAGCTTCACCCTAAAATAAGGGATGTTTCTCGGTTTTGGGCACTCTAACTTCTTGCCTCCGGGCGTAATGTACGGTCAGTTGCATTATCGCTGGCTGGAAATGGATAAAAGCGATGCCCTTAACTTAAACCGGGTAATTTTGACAAGACAATGACCCTGTCTTCAGAGGCCATACATGATTTACGATGGTGGCAGTCATCAATATGCACGACTTACAGGCAAATTACTCACAATGAACCTAGTAAATGCCTAACAACAGATGCGTCGTTGACAGGGTGGGGCTGCTCCTAAATGGTGTATGTGCTGGGGTAACTGGACGCCCTTGGAGGCTTCAAATCATATAAATTATTTGGAAATTCTTGCGGTATTGTTTGCCCTTGAGTCGTTTTCTTCAGAACTAAAAGGTCAGCATGTTAAGGTATTAATTGATAATACTACCGCTGTAGCTTGCATTAATCAAATGGGCACATGTCACTCAAGGTCTATTCACAAGTTGACATGCAATATCTGGACCTGCTGCATTTCGTATGATATTTGGTTGACAGCAGCGCACATTCCAGGATTACAAAATGTCACTGCGGATCGAGAATCTCGAATATCACGCAGAGAAACAGAATGGCAGTTGAACAAGACTCTGTTTACGTGTGCCATTCAAAAACTAGACGTAACTCCGAACATTGATTTGTTTGCGTCAAGGTTGAATCATCAAGTGAAACCCTATGTTTCATACCAACCTGACCCGTATGCTATAGCTGTCAACGCCTTTACGATATCGTGGACCAATTATACATTTTATACGTTCCCGCCTTTTAGCATAGTTTCGCAAGTGTTACAAAAAATAGTACAAGATAAAAGCACAGGACTAGTCTTAGTCCCTAACTGGCCAACACAAAGTTTGTGGCCAGCTTTAATGCAGATGCTAATAGCACATCCTGTTGTTTTACCTAGAGGAAGAATGACCTTAATTCTTCCAGCTCATCCGGATCAAATCCACCCTCTCCATACAAAACTGGAGCTACTACTTTGCCATTTATCGGGGAACTCCTCTCTGATAGAGGCATTTCACCAGAGGCTTCTCAAATCATCCAGCAGTCCTGGCGGACCGGTACCAAAGCAATATTCTACATACCTTAACCGTTGGCGACAATATTGCAATGCAAACAATATCGATCCTGTCGCGTCCTCTGTAGAGGAGGGCATTAATTTTCTTACAAAATTATACCAGGAAGGTTTATCATACAGTGGTATTAATACTGCAAGGAGCGCCTTATCTACTATCCTAATGCTACCAAGTGGCATCTCGTTTGGTACACATCCACTCGTTGCTAGGTTTGTTAAAGGTGTATTTGTTGCAAGACCAGCTCTTCCTAGATATGCCATGGTCTGGGACGTTTCAGTGGTATTCGAACATCTTCGAAATCTCCACCCTCCCAAAGATCTCAGTTTGAAATCATTAACACTAAAAACAGTAATGCTATTAGCTTTGTTATCTGGTCAGCGATGCCAAACACTTCATGCATTGGATATTTCTCATATGGAGAAGAAAGAAGATCGAATAGTTTTTCATGTGCACCAACTGCTCAAAACATCTAAACCTGGTAAGCATGCTGCTCCTTTAGAATTTCGGGCTTATCCACCAGAGCCTGGGTTATGTGTATTCAATTACTTGTCCCATTATCTAAATGTCACTGCACCCATACGAAATGGTGCAAGACAACTCTTATTGAGCTATCAAAAACCTTATCATTCGGTCACTTCAGCGACCATTTCCTGATGGTTAAAATACGTGTTAAAGGATGCTGGTATAAATACTGAGGTTTACAGTGCACACAGCACTAGAACTGCATCAACTTCTGCGGCAAATGCATTGAATATTTCTATGGACACTATTATGAATGCAGCTACATGGCGTAATGAACAAACTTTTCAAACATTTTATAATAAACCAATTGAGGCGAAGAACTTTGGCAATGATCTACTTTCTGCCATTTGTGAGACTTGAAATGTGAAATTTCAATTATATTCTTTTGTTATTAGTTATTGCTCATGTCCACATTGCTTTAAAATCTCACATGACTTCCTAGTGACGTAGAACAGTGACGAAATAGAATTAGAAAATTAAACGAGACTTACCTGAAGTCGAAGTTTGATTGAAATTCTATGAGTTACTGTTCAGGAACTAGAAGTCACCCACCCAACTACTAACTTACTTCTTTTCAAATGATGTTAAATACTACTTGCCTCCCAATATCTATGTGGACGTTCGCAAATTTTTAAAAACTGATCTTGATATCGCGCGCTCTATCTCACATGACTTCCTAGTTCCTGAACAGTAACTCATAGAATTTCAATCAAACTTCGACTTCAGGTAAGTCTCGTTTAATTTTCTAATTTTACCTCTATATAGGTCGAGTATAGGAATGGGCCGAGACATGTCAAGATTAGTGTGCTGCCACGCTGATGCGTGGCAGCAAATATTTACGAAATGAACTTACATGAAAATAGTTTTATAACCATTAAGCTAGTTAAGTATAGGAGAAATATATTTTTATAGGTTTTATTATCTGTGGATTTTACAATGATTCACAGTTTGTTTATCATCAGCCATTCAGGGTGAGTCGGTAGTGACAGTATGAATTGGTTTTACATTTGTTTGCTCTCAAAGCTCTTCTCTTGGTTTTGTACTTATAATATAAATAAAATGAGTAAATATTTACGAAATGAACTCACATGAAAATAGTATTGTAATCATCAAAGTTAGTTAAGTAAACGAGAAATATATTATTATAGGTTTAGTATATGTAGATATCACAATGATTCACAGTTTGTTTATCATCAACTCTTCAATGTGAGTAGATATGAGATATATGATGGATATATATGGGTTAATGTTTTTTATAGATCAAATTTCCTCTCTAGGCTCTTGTTGGTTTGTTAGTTTACACCGATCATTTATGCAGTTTAGGAACTTGTGTTTGATTGCTGTGGATGGCAGACGTTTATGGCTGTTCAAAAG